AACTTGTGTTCATATTTTTAAAAGTATTAATTTCTCATACAGTAGGCATAATTAATTACGATTTGATGTATTTGTACTTTGAATGTCAAACTTTAATAATTAGAAATGTGAAAATCACACAGGGCACTTAGCAAGGGGGAGTAACAGAGTGAGGTAAGATGAAACTGGATGAAGGACATCAAGTAATTTGGGCTGCCCATTGCTGAGTTACCAAGAAAGATGGCAAATGATTAAGAAAATTTCATTTAAAGCCCAGAAAGAAAAAGAAAGTGGACTTTCTGACTTAAATGTTCATTGTGCATTTTTAAAAATTAAATGCAAAGCTTTGGGAAATTTTTATTTTTATGATTTAATTAACGTAAATAATAAATAGGCCTATAGCTTATTTTAGTATTTATATTCTCAAGTTTCTAATTGAGTTAAATTCTACTAGAAAAAAAATGAAAAATACTAATTAATTTAGAGCAATAAACAGCATTTGAGTACTCAAGTAAATAAACTTTTCTTCTTAGGTAACATTGCGGTTAATGAGTGATGACCTAATTTAGTACAACAGTGCAACATATTTACGAGTTGGGGGATGTCAAACTTGAACAAGAACTAACTTCGGAGTAAGGGGCGAGTATCCAGAAATAGAGGCCCGTCTAATACTATATGGGAGCTAACCGTGTTATCAGTTATCTATGGTAGTGAGACAAGAAAATATTTAAAAATTGGTCGGGATGAAAAAGAAAACTAATTTAAACCCCTCCCCCCCCCCCCTCACACACACCATCTTCGATAGCTTTGATAAAGATTTACAGATCTGATTGGATGAAGTTATTGAAGTGCACAGCCGTATAAGTCCATTATTGTGGCTTAATAATGTTTTGTGGTATTTAAGCCTACTACACCAGTTGAGAAAGAGAGACATTATGGGTCGTATAAATGAAGTCACACTCGTAGGGGGGGAGGGGGGGGGTCTCCGTAATTTTGTGACGGTGTGTGATAAATGGGAGGGGGGGGGGGGGTTAGATGGTGTGACGTCACACTTTTGCATTATAAAAAAGCAATGTAAAAACGGGTTTTAGCCCGTTAATTCGCGTTTTAGAAAACGGTTTTAATGAATTGTAATAGGAATTGATCAAAATACTCTATGTTGACAGAGTTCTGACAAGATTTTGGAAAAATATCGATGTTTTAAGAAAAATTCAACAGCAATTTTGAGGGGGGTTGTAGGCTGAGTTGTGACGTCATTTTAGGGAGGGGCGGGTCTGGCTTTTTGTGACGACGTGTGACGGAGGGGGGGGGGGAGGTAAAAATCGTCAAAAAAGCGTGACGTCATTTATTGATGACCCCTTAAGTTTAAGTGACTATCAGAATCATACTAAGGCTGACTATGGAAATACTATGGCTATTCTCCCCCCTCCCACCAATCAGAAGTTATTAATATTATAGTTTTAAAATCATGAGATCATTCGTTTACACTTTATATATATATATATATATATATATATATATATATATATATATATATATATATATAGGCCCTATATATAGATATAGATATAAAGTATGCATGCTTGTCGGCCTGTCTGTCTGTCTTTTATGCATTACTAAACCTTTCATCCGATCGCCATGAAACTTAGGAAAGTTGTTGAGAATACTCCTGGGGAGGTTTCTGCGAAAACAATAATTTCAATTTCGCTGGGGTGGCGCCCAGGCAGGCCGCGATTCGATTCTTCTATATATACGGTATATAAAAATAAAAATCGATTGCAGTTTGAAACCGTTCATTCGATGAAACTTTGGGGAGTTGATTAGAACACTCCGGGGAAGATTTCTGCAAAAGTATCTTTTTTAATTCGCTAGGGCGGCGCCCTCGGGAGGACTGCGATTTTTCTCTATATAATTTATATAAAAAAATAAAAGTCGGATGCGGTTCAACAGCGTTCATCTGAGTGTCATGAAACTTTGGGGAGTTGATGAGAATACTCCCGAGAAGGTTTCTGTGGAAAAAATTTGAAAACTTTTTATGGGCGGCGCCCGGAGGGGTGATTTTGTCAATACACGGTTTGGCACTTATTAGAGTCCCAGAGCGGCTATCTTAGCACTTGGTACCGTTATTCGGGTGTCGTGCATAGCGAGTAAGGGGTGCTACTATATTCAACGTTAAAACTTCAACTGGCGCAGCCGCCGGCGCCCCGGCTCTTGCGTGACCCGAAGCGCCCCAGGGTCCACTGTGAGCACTATGGCGCCTACGTTCATTTTTTAAAAAAAGGCTATACACTAAAGACACCATCAACAATAATCGTTGACTATATCGAATCAGGCGCTTCCCGTGGCACCACTGCAGTGTGCGATTTGGCCATCACACTTTCTCTCCCCCCCCCCCCTCGAAACGTATTGTTTCAGTCCGACACCTCTCCCCCCTCCCATTCACGAACACAATTTTGTTAGTGTGGCTGTTTATGGGCACAATATTGACGACTCTCCCACCTACCTACTCACAAAATCAGAATTTCACTATTAGATCTAGTAACCCTGAGAGTGCTGGTAAAACATTCTGCTATACGTTAAACTCTTTCTTTCTCTCTCTCTCTCTCTCTCTCTCTCTCTCTCTCTAGAAATGAAACTTTTGAATCCATTACAACTTCACTTCACTAATTTTTCACACGCGCTTAATAATTAAGTAAAGTTAAATGTTGCTTTACTCAGCATAAATACTATTCTCGTAAATCTCCGGCGTCGTTTTTTCGCTTAGATACGGTAAACCGTGGGCGTGACAACACGGCGTTAAAGAAAATGGCAGGCCACATCACTCTGCTTTTGTCATGCCTGAGCCTAGTTTCAATATTAATTGTAGCAAGAGCTAATGGCGATGATGGACATGGAGCAAACGCAATAAGCTACGACGCGGACACATTTGAAGCTGGAATACTACAGAACAGAAATTTTGTTATGTTCTACGCACCATGGTAATTTTTTTAATTTTCTGCTGGTCAACTTTGGGAAGGGGGGGGGGGGGGGTCGGGTCGTCTCGTCTTTTAATTTATTTTGTAAAACTCGTAGTTTCACCGGCGAAACTTTACTTGAAAATTGAACATGTGAATTATTTAGACTTATTTTGACTGAAATTGGTACTAGATCTAGATCTAGTACTTTTTAATAATTTATTAGAAGTCAGTCACTTGATAAAGTCAAAGTTTAAGATTTAAATTGTCACAAACTTAATTAGTAATAATTAGGCCTAATTATAATTATTAATTAATATCATTACTTAATTTAATACTTAACCTAGTGAGGGGTGGGGGGGGGGTAATTTATTCAGTTATTTAGGGTAATAAGTAGTAGGCCTAATATTTTAAACTTTTACTCAGGCTACTTTTTATTAATAAAATAAAGGCAGATTCTAGCCGGAAAAAGGTACGCATGCGCAATGGAGAGAAACTACGATTTGCCTTCCCGGCAATGTTTTTGATGGTACTTCACATGCGTGTGTTTACAACCAAACAATCCTAACTGTATCCCTAACCCTAACCGTATTCCTAACCCTATCCCTCCTAACCCTAACTATAACGCTATCCCAGCTATAAGGTCAATGCACATGCGCAGAACTATCTTTTGCTGACCAAGTGGAGACGCTGGGGCGAAAAATCTTTTTCCGAGTAGTCACTTCGTAAAATAAATATCACTAAAATGCATATCTAGATCCTAGTACTAATCTAGACCAAGTTCTAGAGCACAGTAGTTAGTAGAAGAGTAGCCAGTCTGAGTCTATTAGTCTAAACTTAGCTTAGATCTAGTAACTTTTAGCCTATATGTATAGACTCTATATAATATTATTTAACTTTAATAACTTATCTAACTTATCATGCCCAACTTTAATGTTACTCATATAGAATAGGTCTATCTTATAAAAAAAAATGTAATTAATAAAAAAAAAAAACATTTCAATGAATTATTAATTGTTTGTTCAGTTTACTATCTTTTTACTGTTAGGTAGAATTAATAAGATAAAGACAGAAATAAAACTTGAAAATATTTACTAACAAGGAGTGTGTATTGAAGCTATTTTTGTGTGCGAATAGCTGCCCTAAATGCAATAATAATAGTTTTTGTTTAATATTCTAGGTGTGGACACTGCAAAAACCTTGCCCCTACTTGGGATGAGCTTGCTAAAATTTACAACAGTGCAGATGACAGTCCCATTATAATTGCTAAGGTATATATACTACAATAGCTTTTTGATTTTATACTAAACATTTTCACAATGTTTACCTTGAACTATCAACAATGGTATGGTTTGATCATACTTACATATAGGTGTTACTGGATCTGTCCTATTTTTAAAGTGTAAATATTTGTTTTGGCTTGCTAACTACAGCTTTTATTCATTGGTAAAATATAAACATCTGTGAGTCCATCCAGTTCTGATAGTTACCCAACTCACATTATTAAAAAGTATAAGTGACTGGACATAAAACTGACTATGCCTTTATATGCTAAGGTCACAGAAATAGGTGAGCTCTGCTTCACCTGATCTATTGACTGACAAACCAGAAAGGGTATCTTTATATCTTTTTTTTTTCTAATATAGTTGAGATTCAATTTAAAAACCACTAGTGTGCTATCGGGATCGGCATGGTCGAATTGGTAAAGCACACGGTTGCTAAACTGAAAAGACTCGAGTTCGAACCCTCAAACAACTTCTGCCTTGTAGTTTGTTCTTGGTTAGACAAAGGCTGTGGAAGCAAATCCAAAAAGAAAAGCAGGCTGAAATCAGAGTCAATGGCCTCAATGGTGCATAACCAATTGACACGTATACTTAAATCTGTTGGAGGGAATCTCTTCCAACACTAATGTTAGAAACAAAGAAGACTAGTGTGCTAATGTATGTTTTGAATAAATCAGGTTGACTGTACAGTTCACACTGGCTTGTGCGCTGACCATGAGGTTGTTGGTTTCCCAACCCTCAAGCTTTTTGAGATTGGCGGTGGGAGCTACAAACGCTATTCTGGGAAACGAGATCTGGAATCACTGAAAAATTTTATTCAGGAAAAAATTCAAGGACTTGATGGCAAGGTAATATAATTTTTCAGTCATTTCTGATGATAGTATTCATACTCTAAATAATAAATAAAACTTTTAATTTTGTAAAAAAAAAAAACTCTGTGTTTTGATATTTACAACAAATTCAGGATTTAAAAATAATATATAATTATACCTTTTTTTTTTGAGTCAAAATACAATTTCTATTTTGCTCAATTGAATTGTATTGTAGATATAGCAATGTACTAATTCTCATTAGAATGCTGAAGCTGATGAAACAGATCAAGAAGCCACTAAACAACAGGAACCAAAGAGTAATGTTGTTATCTTAACAGATGAAAACTTTGCTAGCACTGTAGCTACAGGCTCATACTTTATCAAGTTCTATGCACCATGGTGTGGCCATTGCAAGCGACTTGCTCCAGTATGGGAGGAATTAGCTGATGCTGTTACCAATGAAAACACTAAAGTTGCTAAGGTATGGCTAAATTACTACCAAATAAAAATGCTACGGATGTAATGTTTTAGCTCTATTATGTTTTTATTTAATGTGACCAATTAAACATGCATATTTTAATTGCTAAAGGTATGGTTAAATTAGTACCAAATAAAAATGCTACAGATGTAGCTCTATTATGTTTTTAATGTGACCAATTAAACATGCATATTTTAATTGCTAAGGTATGGTTAAATTAGAACAAAAAATGCTATAGATAATGTTTTAGCTCTATTATGTTTTTAATGTGACCAATTAAACATGCATATTTTAATTGCTAAGGTATGGTTAAATTAGAAAAAAAAATGCTATAGATAATGTTTTAGCTCTATTATGTTTTTAATGTGACCAATTAAACATGCATATTTTAATTGCTAATGCTAAGGTGCTAAGGTATGGCTAAATTAGTACCAAATAAAAATTCTACAGATGTAATGTTTTAGCTCTATTATGTTTTTAATGTGACCAATAAAACATGCATATTTTAAAATAACATTCATTTAAAGGCGAAGGTTTTGTGCATAAATAACATAACATATATTTAATGGTCTTAAAAGCTACTGTTCTTGATATTCATTAAAAGTCTCTGATAGATGTTCTGTGATAGTCTTAAGAGTTTCTATTAAAGAAGTTAGCTGAAAAAGTTGAGCAATCATTACAAAAGTTTTTTTCTGTAGTCATAAAACTACAGTAGAATAAAAAGGCTGTTGAAATTCATGTGCCTTGATGAGATTTAACACAGCAGTTCATATAAAAGGGGATGCATAGTTACATCTTTAACCACCGATAGAATCTACCTCCTAAGTAAATGCTATTAATGTTTAATAATAAAGTACGTGCTTGCTTTTTACAAACTGTATCTCCTTTCAGATGCTAAAAATATTTAAGTAGTTAAAAAATCAACTGCTTGGTATTCACAGATAGACTGCACACAATCTACAGTGTTTTGCAAGCAATACAACATTGAAGGATACCCAACCCTCTTGTGGTTTAATGATGGGGAAAAGGTATTGTGTTTTTTCTGTGCAGATAGTTTAGTACAGAGAAACCTGTATGTTTTGCTATTTTTATTAGAATAGATCTGCTGCCTAGCTAACTTTCATTCAAGTTTCACAACTATATATTTGCTCAGTATGATCAATGAATCAATACCATATGCTACACTCAAAGGTGACAGCATTCACAGTCTGCTTACAAATAGATTTTTTCATTTGAGATGACTAATCTTACTCCTTGTATTCATCAAAAATGGATTTTCAATATTTTTTCTTTCTTTTGTACGTTTTGTTTTATTTCTAATATTTGATTATCATTAGTCTTTATCAACCGAATGAGGTTTTATTTTAATTTTATCTGATGTTGAAAATAGTAATGTTTAGAAGCCAGCTTAACAATGTAATTGTACTCACTGTAGTCTGTTATGACTATACAAGGCTTGAAAAATGTATGGAATGCAGACAAGTTTATTTCAGACTATAACCTTTTTGGGAAAGCAATAGTTTTGTGCTATTTTTAACAGAATGTTAGGGTAAAAGTCAGAAAGGAAAATGAAAAAGAAAATATAATGTTCATAGTTTATCTTTAGAGTTTGATTTCTCTCCCCCCACCACCCCCCATTACAGTTAACTGATAAGCCTATCACAACCACACAGTCATGACATAGGTCACAAATCGGTTTCAGTGCTATTGGCTAGTAGTAACATTGGAATTGAATCAAAGCCACTTTTTATTGGTACATTAAAATTCATATTGATAGACGACTATAGAGAGTGAAGAACAAGGGGTGAGGGATTAAGACTTAAATAATGTAAAAATGTGCTATGTGCAGGCCTAGAGAGAGGCGGGAGGTTATGAATCATGACTTGGCTTAAACTTATTCATATTTTTAAAAATGAAAATTATGAAAATCTTTTTTTGATAAAACTATGTTTATTTTAGAAGAATACTGTTGACAAAATGAAGGCAAGGGTAACAATGGTGTGTCGTCATTCAGGGACATCTCCATTCTTTAAATTAAATCTTTATTCTTTAAAATAAATGAACAAGGTTTAATTACTGAAAGTACAAAAATGAAAGTAACATTTTTTAAAAATTTATATTGAAATATTTATACCTGTACCAGGTCTATAAATTTATAATTTCTGTATGTAAAATGTCTGGAATGTACTTTACAAAAGCTGAATTTATCCTGCTGTTAAAGCTTTCCCATTATAACTACACAAAACCAGTGTTAGTTTGACAGTTTTCTGAATCTTATTGAGTCCTATAGATTCTTTTTGTCTGAAATGCAACTAATAGTTGTCCATCAGGATTAACATTGTGCAAAATTTTAATCAAATCTTATGTAGTACAGCATTGTTAAATTAGGCCTTTTTCTTAAAATACGTTATGTCACCACATATTATGTAACTTGATATACATCCCTGTAAGATGTTTCATTTTAAATACCATATCTGTTACATTGCTGTGTAGGTTAATAGATTCCAAGACTTATTTTTAAGAAGCGCATGATTTTAATGTATCAATTACATTATTTTTTAGGTTGATAGATTCATAGGACCAAGAACACTAGATGAGTTAAAACAATTTGTTACTGAGAAATCTGCAGCACAAATTCCTCAAGATTCAGAAAGTGTCCCTTCAGATATTCCAGAGGAGCCAGAGGTAAGAAAGTAAACGGACATCAACTGTGTGAACAGGAAGCCTCAATTGTTACTCGCCCTTAAACTTCTGTAGCCTTTATATTTTTTTAAATATCCATGATTGTAAAAGCTCATGTAATGAATTAAAATTCAAATTAAAGAGAAAAATTTTAATATTACAGTAAAGTTCACATTTAGTAACATACCTTATTACTTCATTAAAAAAAAATGTGAAGAAAATTAACAATTAAAAAAAAGTTACTGCAATTCATTTTAAATGAGTAATGCTAAAATTATTGTTTTTTTTAGAACAATATAAATCAGTATAAACTATTTGCAATCTATTAATGTTAAGTATTTTGTTATTGTTTTGCATGTTTTTGATTTAAATATGTTTTTTCCTTTAATTCACCATTGTAGTTTCCACTTGCTGTAAAAGTATATTTTTTCTCGCAGGTGTTTGTTAAAGATCTGACAGATGAGAATTTCCATGCTCACCTTTCATCTGGCCTTGTCTTCGTCAAGTTTTTTGCTCCCTGGTAAAAAAATTAAATTAATTATATCTTAATTATATACCACCTAGAAATAAGGTTTCAGTACATCTAGAACAATTTCTCTTAGTTAGGAATTAAATTGCCAAGATTTCTTCTTTTATTGGTACACAATTTATTCCAGTCACACACCTTGGTATTTTTTGCTGTGAAACACTTAACTTTTTAAAACATTTTTTCAAAGGCTAATAATTTTAAGCTGCAACTATCATGAATAGTTAAATCTAATTGATCTACATTTGTATTAAAGGTGGCACTACATTAAACTCGGCTGGCAAATGTCATAGTTTTTATTTGTTATGTAGGTGAGGTATGCCCATGGTCAAATGTCATAGTTTTTTTTTTTGGTTTGTCTTGTAGTTGGCACCCCCATAAACTGGCAAATGTCATAGTTTTTTTTGTTTTTATTATAGTGGCACCCCTATAAACTGGCAAAAGTCATAGTTTTTTTGGTTTGTTTTGTAGTTTGGCACCCTTATAAACTGACAAATGTCATAGTTTTTTTGTTTGTCTTGTAGGTGACACTACAGTAAACTGGCAAATGCTATAGTTTTTGTTTGTATTAAAGGTGGCCCCCCTATAAACTGACAAATGTCATAGTTTTGTTTGTTTGTCTTGTAGGTGGCACCACAGTAATCTGGTTATTGTTATTGTTTTTTTTTTGTCTTGTTTGTGGCACCTGTAACTGGCAAATGTCATAGTTTTTTTGTTTGTCTTGTAGGTGTGGCCACTGTAAGCGCCTAGCACCAACATGGGAGGACCTGGGTAAAGAAATGAAAAGTGACCCTGTGTCTATAGCAAGGGTGGACTGCACTCAGCACAAGAGTGTGTGTGATCAAAATGAGGTACTGCTCTTATATTTACAAATACTTAACCCATACAGCACAATCCTTATTTTTGTTATTCTCAACTCCACACATAATTTTATGATCAGTTCCCTCAGTTACATTATTATTTGCACTGGTACCCAAATCTCATAGGGGAACAGAAACAATATGTATGTATGTTAGAACATTTATAACACCACATGTAGAGAATTAATGAGTTCAAGTATAGAACCTTCATATGCCCAGGTCAAGAAACATGAACTCTACTCCATCTGCACTATAAATCTCTAGGTCTGAAAGTTGAACTTAACTTTATAAAGAATATACAATTTTTTGTTGAACCAGGTGAGAGGTTATCCAACCCTGAAAATATTCCGCAATGGTGAGTTACTGTCAGATTACAGGGGAGGGCGCACACTAGAGGATCTGCAGAGCTTTGTCAAAAAGCACATTGAACAGCGTGATGAGTTGTAAGAAGTCAACTTGATGCATGTAATTATGGATTGGATGTTGTGTGTGTTTGATTTTTTTTTTAAATTGTAAAATAAAGAATGTGTTTACATCTTTGTCATGTTTATGAATAGGTTATTACTTTGAAGGGTAATTAAAAACAATAAAATGTAATTTCTTTGTTGGGTATTAAAGGAAGTATTAAATGACCTTAGATTTACAGTTAATGTAACAGATCTTTTTTATATAATTCCTATTTTTATGAATTATGTGACCTAAAAACTACCAGTTGCTTAGTGTTGTTAAAATAATAAAATGTTTTGTTAAAACAATTCTTACATTTTAAAGAAATTAAATTATGAGAATAAAACTGTAGAATTAATGTTATTAAGAAACATTCACCTGTTTATATCCTTTTTAAACCCTTTTTATCTTTTAAAGAGCGGAGAATGTGTTGAGTAAATTTTGATACATTTTGGAATAAAGATTAAAATAAAATAAACTTATGATTAAAAAAGTTTAGATTATAGAAAAAACCACGGATAATAGTTTTCTTTAGAAAATGTGTTCTTCTTTGGCCAGTATTAGCTTATGTAGGTGTTCTATTTTTTATTGTTTCCAAGATTGAATTAGGTTGTCAGTTCATTATTACAGTGTTATGAAACAGCAGAATTTACTTGTTGGGATGATAGATCTTATTAGAGCACTGTTTTCCATGCTACAAGGAACACGTCACTTGTTGGTGTGGATCAGTGCTAGTAAAGTCTAAAAAAATGTACAATCTATTTCATTAAACATTTACAGCTTTAAATAAGTCAATACTTGTATCATGAAAATAACAATTTGCGGTTTAAAATGATGTTTGTGATGTATCTGCTAGACCTTCGACAGATTTTTAAGTTTACTTTCTTAATCATAATTTCAAAATTGTTCAACCCCAGACTTTTGGTGCCTTGAAGTGTAGACCTATACGGGTTATAGTTTATCTAACAACTAAACATTTGGGTAATAAAAATGTATTTTATGGAATGTGTTTTTTTTCAAGAGTGGTAGGCCATACTTTGACAAAAATTTTTGAAGCAGTTCAATTAGATTATGTAATTAATAAAGTAGTTTAGCCTTAAAAATTGACTATAAAAAGATCACTGTTTTTTTTTAAATTTTGATCCAATGTTCACTTGTTTATAAGACCACATAGAATACATAAAGAATTGATTGGCCATTATTTTGCAGGTTTCACATTGGGGTTATTTTTTTTTTGTAACAAATATAGTATTGGAGTAACTTTTCTGTTTGAAAATAAATTTGGTTGTGTTCCCCTTGATTTTATGACCACAGAAAATTCTTAAATAATTGTCATTATTTTTTGTAAAATAATTTTTTTTTTACTTACAAATTTATAAAGGCTCACTAACACAGAAACATCTTATTGAAAATTTTACTGAATGATTTTTACCTTTTTGTATACTTTTTCAAAACGCGATTGTTGATTTTTTTATACTTACATATATTTCTCGCTCCTGATTATGAGAAAAAGTATTAGGCTAGTATATTAGCCATACATGGCAATAGTATCTTGCTTAAATACTGTACAGTTCATGTTATTCTTTGGCCATTCTCCCTTATTTTGTTATTGCTGTTTCGATTTGGATAATATTCTAGTCTAGTTCCAATTTGCTTTTGAATTCTGCTTATGAAGTCACTTCAAATCCAATATGACCATTATATACATCATGTGTGTTGTATTGATTGTGTGCATAACAGTTTGCATTGGGCATTTTTATCCATTCTACAAATGATAGAGAAAAGGTTTTTTACATTTCCTTAAAGGACTGTTTTAAAATGTAAACCACTGAGAACATCTTAGTAAAGTGTGACTTGAATGCTTTTTGTCAGTAGATTAAAATGTACAATACTTCTTGATTCAAATAGCTGTTTAATCAATGATTTGTTATTAAATTTGTTTTTAAAGTAGTTTGCACTGTATGAATATCCTTGTAAACCATTTTACTACCTTATGTGTTATTAATCAGTTATGGGTGAAAGATTTTGCTACACATTTTTGTAACAGAGAAGCATAATGTTGAAATCTTGTAAATAGTTGCTTTTGAAAGATTTATTCTTAAAACTTTGTTCTGTTTTGGTGGTTGAGGGCTATGGCATATTTTCTGAAGCATTTTCTTTTAAAAATATTTTTAAAATGACCATTTTTGTAATATGATATTATTTGTAAATGAATGTTAGATTCATTTTCATACTATTAAACTGATTTTTCACCCCATAATTGCCTTAGTTTGATTTATTTGGGCTCTTGGAATAACCCTAACACTATTCCTAACTTTAAAATATGAAATGTATCCCATTTTACTGCTGAATAAAAATGTACCCTATTTTATTAAAGCTAAACATCTAATAGAAATAAGTTTTGAATCATTATTACTCGGGTCGCAGATGATACTGAAAGAAAAACCAGCCCTAGTAATCCTATTGATTAAGAAGTTCCTTCCAGTTTTCTCCTCTGCTGGGGGGGGGGGGGGGGGGGGAGAACAACGCTGACTGAATTTAGGGTTAGCATCCATGAGCTCTTCCACATGACAAACGTATTACATTGGTGTAATTTAAATAATAAAAATATTTTTAACAATTTATAAGTTCAAAAACCACTGATAAAAGTTTTAATTATACACTATTATTTTTATATAGGCCTATCTATATATAAAAATAACAATCAACATCAAGTATAAATTACAAACAAACATAATAATATAACAATTTTCAATGGAAATAGTATAGCATTTAATTATTTTAAAATTTCAAGAACAAAAATAAAAACAATATAAGCTTTTTAAAAAAATATTTAGGTCTATTATACAATTTTAAGGAAAAACAAAATGAATTTATCATATGTATTTTCTTAAATAACAAAAGTTTGCAGTTAAATTACACACCCATTTTGTAAACATGATAAGTTATATGATAGTTAAAATGATAAATGATATTTATTCACACATTTTGCAATTAAAAAGGCAGGTTTGATTAAAAAAAAAGAGATTCATATTTATAGATTGTTTTGACTCCAGTTTTATAGATATTAATATAAACATTACTTTAGATAATAGCGATGAAACAAAAATGCATTCTTTTTAATTACAGTTGAATTGTTTAGTAACTCTATATGGTATACAAATGCAAACAGTTTTTGAAAAAAATTCTCTTAACACTTTTACTATAATATAAATGTTACCTAAATTTTTAATGCAAAAAGAATATAATTTTATATAACAACAAAAATTTCATTTCTAAACAAGTGTGCAGCATTCTAGCAAAAAAAGGTGAATCATTAAACTAGAAAATGACATAGGGGGCAGCACTTTCTGTGTGTAATTTCTGACTGAAGAGCTCTGTGCTTACAGTTATTGCACATCCAGAACTGGTACTCAAGTATTGGTCTTCCAGTTACAATGCATGTTGGGTATTTTGAATCACAACTTGGACAAACTGTTGCCCTGGTTATAAAAAACAAATGATTTTTGTAAGATATAGCACATTAATTTAAAAATCAGTAAAATGTTATCTTTTTTGATACTTTACTTAATAGAAATGAATATGTGGGTAAAATTTAGTTTAGGATTATTATTGGAATGCAAATAGGCTAAATCAAGCTTTTTTTTTGTAGTTTTGCTAACTTTACATCATCTCTACCTTAGCCCTGGCTGAACCTACTTTAAGTTTTACCAGCAGAATATTTTTCAAGATGATGCTATTGTAGAGCCAAAATAATATAAAATTGCATTTGTCTCTTGAGTTTCTTTACAATATATGAAATATAGACTATTAGATCCAACTCATATAAAATTTTAGATGACTATATCACATTTGAGCCTATGTTTCATTAAAAATCATTCAATATTCCACCTACCAATCTGGCATAGAAGAGCCACACTGAGGACAGTCAATTTTCCCAGCCTTTGAATCTTTTGGGCTGTGTCTGAAAATAAATTCAACATGAATGCAAAACATGAATGCAACTTCTGTTTTAGCAGTGGAACAATATTTTGCTACAAATGTCCCTGACTCACAACATACTTTAAAAATTAAGGGCATTACCAGGTTTATTTTCTAAATTATAGTCCCTGAGTTAACAAAAAATATATTTTACATTTCTGGGATCCTTTTTTTTACTTTCTTAATAGATACAATTCAAATCCATACAATTAAGTTATAAACACAGCAAACATATTTTTTAAAAGTTTTGCTTAATGTACAACAAACAACAAATCATGAGATTTTGGTATTTAGTGAAATCGTAATTTCATTTGACATGGGACTAATAACAAAAATTAAGAGCAAAACATTTACTTTGTAAAGATTTCCATGGCCAGTTCTTCATAGTGTTGTTTTTGTTCAGCTGTCAGTGATTCCAATGATTCTAGCTTGATAAAAGCTTTAGAGCAGATGTTGAATGCCTTATTGGCACATGCTGCCAAAGCTAAAAGTCAAAAGATGAGTTTGAATACTCTTGATTAAAGTTATAATTCTCTCAACAAGGAAATTACTAATTTATTAAACAAGTCTGATTAAGAAAACATATTAGCAATCTGCAATAACATATTGAAAATTAAATTCCTTTTATAATTAGTTTAAATAGCTATTAAACATGTTTTTAAAAATAGTTTAAAAAATTTTAGATTGATTATTATATATCCTAGGCAATAAATAATGATTTTTATAATGTTCTGTACACATAGCAATACCTAACAAAGAGTAAGTATTGACGGGGTCTATCACATCTTCAAAGTCCCTTAGATGTAGAGCTGTCCTCATAGCAGCATCAACATAACCTAATAAGAAATGATCAAATCAATATAGCCTTGTCATCACAACATAGACATAATTAATTATAACAATCAAAACAACATTAATTATAAAAATTATCATGGGATCCTAAATATAACCTGATTACTAATATTAAAAGATTACAGCTTCATCATCACAAGCTAAGTGATAATTATCCATATAGCAATCAGTCAAAAATAGGGTCGGTATAATGAATCAAGACAGTCATTTGGCATGTAAGGGGGAATGGGTGGGTGTAGGGACTGGAGTCAGTGGAAAGGGGGGGGGGGGGGAAGGGGGGGAAGAGTAAGAAAAAAAAAGCCTGGATAAAATTTTCTACCAGTGAAAATTTAATTGATCATTTTTAATTTTGGATTTTTTAAAACAAATTGGTTTTACCTTATGATTAAAAACATATAAAATGTTTTAAAAGTAACAACTAACCATCATACATCTGCCTTTGTGCTAATATGTAGAAGTGGTAAGCCTCTGCACCTCTCCAAGCATTGTCTATGATTTTAGTGTCTGATGTTGCTGATGCATCTTCCTCCAAGAAACCAGCCAAAGCTGATGAAGCCTTAGGAATTAAAAAATACATTTTTTTATATTAGTATTATTACAAAGACAATAAAAAATAAAATTAAAAAATACTTTTGCTGTCTTGTTTTGAGGCTTTGTTAATACAGTAGGCCAGTGGTGTTACAAGGTCAGGTGTCACCCGGTGCGGAGATATATATATATATATATATATATATATATATATATATATATATATATATATATATATATGGTCTACATAGATATATATATAGTGGCAATTGGTGACATCCCCTTCCCATTTTGCCTAATGACGTTAATTTGTAAGCACGACCCACATATTAATTCATTTGGAAAAAGCATCATTTTAATCGTAAGTCATTAGATTTTGGTGTCACCCCTATACTGTTGTTGATTGACTTTTCTGTTACTCAAAAAGCCTTTATTCCTCTCGAAATTGTGCAGTTGGTGTCACCCCCCCCCCCCCCCCCCCCAGGGTTATAAAGTGTGTACAGCTAATCAGTGGCGGAACTAGAAAAAAGGGGCCACCCCGCAAAAAATTTTTTTAGCCCCCCCCCCCATATAAATATATGGGTCCATATATGTGTATATGTATGTATACATATACTCAAACACAAAATACGAATATAGGATACTTATTGCTGGCCTGCTCGTGTTATGAGAAATACGTGGTTTTTTTTTTAAATTAAAATAAATTACAACATCATGTCATGTGTGTAAGTGCACTAGTCTGTTTTGTGAAAATCAGTTTTATATTATCTTAGCCGTATCACCTTTAACCTCATATTGGTCAAAAGGATATAAAACATGAAAGCTTTCTGTAAATAATGGTGTCTCGTGTCATGTTTATTTTTATGTTTTTTTTGTATTTATTTTATTAATTTTAAATACATTTTCTTTTTGTACAGTGTCATTCTTTAGTATGTAATTTATAAACAAATAATAAGAAAGAGAAGTAATTGCTTTTTAATTTGTTTAGTACAAATCTATTAAAACAAGGCTTATGAGCATCACTATTTGACTATTCAAAAAAGGGAAATAAGTCATGGAAGTGGTTTGAACGTTTGCTTATCTTTGATAAGTTTGATTGTAGGAGAAAGAGGACTCGGCTTTCACAGTGGTTTAAAAACGAAGGAAAAATGAGCGTAGGGTGGTGTCTAGAGAATAAAGGTAACCCAACCGCAGCTACAGTAATCTTTTTTACAAAACAAACATTAAGTCAAAAGAATTTTTTTTTAACTATATCAATTTTTTATGGTCGGCCGTGGGCCCCTAAATGGCGTGGGGCCCCCCCGCATTGCGGGGTCTGGCGGCACTGTAGTTCCGCCCCTGCAGCTAATAGTAAAGATGGTTATCTATAGGCAGTTATTAACACAGGTGGATTAACTCCTATAAATCATAAATTGAACTGGCAAAAAGCATTTTTCGTCTATATATTTTGCAATTTTACGCCATGGTGTCACCCAGTGCGGTCCACACCCCTCGCCCCAGGCTCGCTACGCTCTGCAGTAGACTACATGACAGAACCGTAAAAGATGTGTAAATCCTAGTTTTTATGGCACCTGTTTATTTTTTCCTTTGGCTCTAGAGGTGAGCTTCATGGCTTCATGATACTGTTCTACCAGCAGTCCTCCAAGTACATACATTTTTTTAATTATCAGAGGATTTTTGCGGCTTTTTGCTTGATCATCTGCTATCTAGGGAAAATAAAAGAAAAATTGTCTTCAAAAAATATTGAAACAATGGTTTTGTCTGAGAATGCTTTTAGTAAATGTTAGGATTGCAGTTTCTATTTTATAAAATGTATAGATAAATAGTCAAAAATATTGATAATTGTTAATTTATAACTAAAGAAAATATATTTATACATTGTTTTCTTCCTAATTTCAAATTTTATAAACAATGATGTAAGATGATCTAAATTTATTTTTATAAAAGAAATTTTAGATTTTAAAAAGTGGAGCAAAAAATCTGGCCACCTTAAACATCAGCTTGGCAGCATCCATGTAGTGTCCTGCCTTCCTGTACAGCTCAATGGCATTGAGAACTTTTTTCTTCTCCAATAAATGCTGGGCGTACTTGGCTAACAACATGTCAATCTCTCTCACATTGTGGGCTTTAGCTAGTTCAATAGCTGTGTTCCACTGGTTCAGATTCACGCAGCAGTCAATGGCTGCCTTTATCCTATTGCACTAAATATAGAAATAAAATCAATCATATAATTTGATTTTCTAAATGCCTCTTCTTTGAAGTTTATTTTATTAAGCTTAATAATTCAATTTGTGACTTCATTTACTTTTCATAATATGTTTAATAATTTGTTTAATATATATAAATCTTGTGAACAGGTTATGCAGAACTTTTTCAAATTATTACAAAACAATTTAAAAAAACAATGTATTCCTAATACATTTCTAATTTTTAAATCATCCAAACCTTTGTGTAGGCTTCTACTGCTTGATCTGACATACCAACACTACCAAACATGGCTGCTATGTCCTGTTGACAGAGAAATTTATTTATTTTTACATACAAATACATTTTTTCAGATATATATCAGATTCTTTCATAAAATGTCAACACAAGTATGATAAAAAGCTTTTGTGAACAATGGCTATTTGATGAAAGTATGATTTACTAGCTAAATTAACTTACAGGAAGCAATTTGTGGTTTTCTGGTAAACTGTTTATCATGTTTTGAAGGCCAGTATAGTCTTCAAGCATGTAATAACACTCAGCCAATCTTTCTTGGTTCCTCCCTTGTACATAATATGTAACAGCCTAAAAATGTTAGAAGTTTAAATCGTATTAAAAAATTACAAATACATTAGCTTAAACAATTAATTATATTTTATAAATAAAAATTGTACTAGATTCATTAGTGTTAAAATATTGAACCAAACTTTAAAGTTAGCATTATTATCAGTAGTTCCTTTTAATGAGCTAATTTTGAAATATTTTTTTAAGTTTAAAAGAAACCTTACTTAAATTAAGTTAAAAGTTAAAAATTAAATAAAAAGCAAAACATAAAGAATGATTAATAAAAATCTACCTGATTCCATTTTTGTCTGTCAGCATAGTAGTCTCCAAGAGCATTCCAGGCTTCTTCCAGCTGTAAATCATCTCCACCTGCACCATTTTTTAACAGGTGTATGACCTTGAACCAGTCCCCTAGTTTCTTTCTTAAACTTACAGCAAGGTCTCTATATTTAGAAATTTTAAAAATATTTTGTCAGTGATGTTTCGGAAACATTTTATATAGCAACACATGTTTCAACCAAATACAAAAATATGATAATAAATACATGAGTTTTGATATCTTTATTCTAATGATAAAAATAGAAATAATAGATTAAAATCTTCAATGAAACTCCAGTTTTAAGAACAAATGATTTATATCAATTAGCCAGGTATTGTATAAAAGAACCCAACAAAGGTGAGCTATTAACAAACTAACTTCCTGTCCATATCCAAGTAAATTTTCTCAGCATCATCAAATCTTCTGAAATATGAAGCAACTTCCGCTTGTTTGATTTTATCATTCTGAAAAATAAATAAATATAACATATACACAAAATACACCATAAAGCTCTTCACTATAGATTTTAGGAATTGTTTTTTGACATTTATTTTCTTTTTCAAAATTAAAACCAACAAAATAAAAATTAAGGGGGTTTAAATTGTAACAAAAAAATTAAGATAATAAAAATTATAGGGGTTAAAATTTTAATTAAAAAAAAAACAGCAAAAAAACAAAAAAAAACCCAACATTATAGGGTTTCAGATCATATCAAAGAATCAACAAAATAAAAATTATACAGGTTAAAAAATGAAATCAAAGTAGACAACCTGCAAATTGCCCAGTCTTTTGACAAACTCAATCCCTTGGTAGTCTTTACATTTCACAAAAGCTGTCTCGGCAACTTTTAAATTTAGCTGCTCCAGGGCAGTCTCTGCTAAGAGACGCCTAAAAAAATAATTTTAAAGTTATATTAAAACCTTACAATATGGTTTCACAGACATTTTAATAAAATAAATGTCTTTTTTTAAGCAAACTATTTTAAAATAGAAAATTTTTTTTTTTTTTTTTTTTTCTAAACATAGAGTAATTATATTATCCTAAACAATTATCTTTTACCATAAGCGAGGATGTGGGTTTTCTTCAATAAACTGCTGCGCTTCTGTGATGCCAACTTTTTCTAGAAGGTCTCGAGAGTCTCGTAAAGACTACATATCATAGAAAGAAATACTTCATTTTATGAGGGCTATTCTACCAATTATTTTAAGAAGATTTTATTTTACAGTCATGAAGTCAAGTAACACTATATATCACAGAAAAAGAATAATTCCTTTTAAAAGGGATGTTCTACCAAATATTTTAAGAAGATTTTATTTAGCAAGAGTAGTTTCTCCCTAGAAGTAATTCATTGTATTAGGGTTGTTCTGCTAGGTTTTTTAAGATCTAATTTTGCAAGAGGAATTTCTCTTTAGACAATAATTCTTTTGGGTCACTATTGTTATGGTACAGTACAGTTCCCTTTCAAACCTGACGGTCTATGGGGCAAGTGAAGTATAGTTCAATTGTTTCTGTGACCTCGGCATATGAAGAGATAGTGTGGTCAGCACTATGCCCAGCCGCCTTTACTTTCCCTAACATGAGTTAGGTACCCATCAGAGTTGGGTGGACTCAGGGACGGTCTACTGACTTGAACCCGGATTCGAACTCGAGACTTATGGGTTAGCAGTTCAGCTCTCTACCACTAGACCACTCCGTCATTGTAATGTTGCGCACCTTTATTTCCAAATCTATGATATCATCCTTTGTTGGATTTTCTGGATCCTTCATGATTTCATCTAAGAGAACTGATTTGATTTGCAGATCATTGAACTGGCAGATGTAGCCAGAACTCTGAATAGGCTCCTAGATGAGGAAAATGGCTAATTTAAACTTTCTCATAAACATTGAAAGTACACAAACAGGTAAAAAATAAATACATTTAAGTTGATTTTAGAAAAAGTTTTTTCTGAGCAACAAAGAGATACCTATTAAAATTGAATAAGTATGCTTTTTCATAAGTTTTGAAAATACTCAAGACAACCCATTTAACAGAACATTCATTATCATCATCATCATCATCATCATCATCATCATCATCATCATCATCATTATCATCATTATCTTCATCATCATCATCATCATCATCATCATCATCATCATCATCATCATCATCATCATCATCATCATCATCATCATCATCATCATCATCATCATTCCTGTGGACCCTTGTGGAGCATAGGGGCACAACCACACCTCTCTATTGACTCAGGTTTTAACAGAACATGTTGATGTTGATATTATCTTATAAAACTTGTCAATAAAAGTTCAGCCTCTGTACAAACCTCGGGGTCAAGGTTACGGAAGATGTACATCCTGGTCTTTTCCATGACAGCAAAAAGTTCTGGATTGTCCTAAACAAACAAACAACATTAGAAGACATAGAAGATATTATTTCTGAGAAACATCAACAATTTATATAAGCTCTTCATAAGTAAAATGACAAAAGTGGAGACATTATAAGTAGATACAACTTTTTATTACAAAAAGTATCTGAATTTGAGCTATGGATACATTTTTGTAAAATTTTGTAGAAATAGATTGAAGTCAAAGAAAATGCCCAATATTTTAAACATGTAAACAAACAAAAAAATCAGTTTAGTGGGTATCTATCCTAACCTCAGCCCATTTCATATCCCAGACATCTTTGCGTTCAAACTTGAGATGCTCCCCAATTACTTCCCTTCCATCAGAATCTGTAACTCGGGAATCCAAGTCAAAGAAAGTTAAGACTCCAGCTATGTCAATTATAGCAACACGGCTGGAATAAATAATGGTATAACATTTGTATGTGTTAATTATAGCAACACGGCTGGAATAAATAATGGTATAACACTTGTATGTGTTTATTATAGCAACACGGCTGGAATAAATAATGGTTTAACATTTGTATGTGTTAATTATAGCAACGGTGAGAAAAATAATGGCTTAACATTTGTATGCGTCAATTATAGCAACACGGCTGGAATAAATAATGGTTTAATATTTGTATGTGTCAATAATAGCAACACGGTTGGAATAAATAATGGTTTAACATTTGTATTAATTGCTTAAAATTTGTACATGTTAAAGGATGAGAAAGATAATAGTTTAACATTTGTATGTGTCAATTATAGCAACATGGCTGAAATAAATAATGGTTTAACATTTGTATGTGTTAATTATAGTAAAGGTGAGAAAAATAGTTTACCATTTGTATGTGTCAATTATAGCAACACTATGGGAATAAATAATGCTTTAACATTTGTACGTGTTAATTATAGTAAGAGTGAGAAAAATAATAGTCTAAAATTTGTATGTGTTAATTATTGTAAAGGTGAGAAAAATTATGGTTTAACATTTGTACGTGTTAATTATAGCAAGGATGAGAAAAATAATGGTTTAATATTTGTATGTGTTAATTAAAGCTACACAGCTGAAAAAAAATCTTGATTCTTTTTTTTTTGCACGATTACAATACTTTCTCTATACTTCTTATACAAGAAAGTAAAATTGATGGTTAGGCTCAAGTGGATAGAAGTTTAACATTTATATATATATATTAAAATTATAATAAAGGTGAGAAAAATAATAGCTTAACATTTGTATATGGCAACTATAGGCTCAAAAGAAGTATGGTTTAATATTTAAGGCTCTAGCTATGCCAATAATAATAAAAGAAAAAAACAAAGTACATATAGAGTTACCTGGAGGAGAAATTCAAGCTTATTTGATGTGGTCGACATGTTAGTGAGTATTTGTGCGTCAAGGCAACCATTGGCAGTGAATAGCGCACCATAATTCCTGATTCCCTCCCCTGAAATGTTTTAGAATTTTAAAGTTTCAGTCAGAATTTTTAACTACCCTCAAATGATACATTTAATTAAGTTCATCAATCATCATCATTTCCCGTTGGTGCCCAAGACACATGGGGGCAGATTAAGTAGAGTTAATCTGCTTTAGAGACACCGTTTCTTTCAGGCATCTCAGCATATGTAGGTATAGTGTGGTCAGCACTGCTCAGCCACCATTGTTTCCCTAACTAAGTTAGGTACCCATCAGGGATGGGTGGACCCAGGGACGTTCCACTGATTCGAACTCATGTTCATTGATAAATGTCTTATAATTGAATTTTTAATTTATCAGCTGTTACATTTTTAAACTAGAATAAAGGTAATGTTGTTAATAGAAAAAAAAGCCATTTTGAAATAAAACGGCAGATGCTTAAAAATGACCTACCACAAGAAGAGTTTTGTCAGAGGCACAGATACAACAAATTTGATCATCAGTTGGCTGAAATTACAACAAAAAAAAAATAATATAAAAGTTAGTAAAGAAGACTATCTTCATATTTCAACAAACAAAATTATTGATCCACAACTTTACCAGCTTACATTATCAGCTTTTCTGAAATTAATTTCCTCTTGACCAGTAGATGATCCAGAGGGAATGTCATCAATGTGAACCAACCTTAAAATAAATATGATTTTTTTTTATGTGAAACAACCTTTAAGAAAACATGTATTACTTTTTTAAAAAGCCTACTGATAAAAAAAGTTTCCAGAATATGCGCAATGTGCAAATAGAAAAATGTGCAAATACAAATTAATTATACTACTACACTTTAATATTATCTTATTTTATTGGAATATGTTTTATTATGCTACAATGTACATGTAGTCAATCTTTTTTAATATAAATGCTTGATTGAAGAAAACAAAAATGCCTTTGTATACTTTTTTTTGTGCACAATTGTCCATTGTGCGTCTTTCAGGTCACTGATTAAAAAATCATAAATTAGAATTGTAGCAAGGTATGTTTATAGAAACAACTTATAAAGACCTTTCAGAGCCTGCTTTCCTCTTAGAAACAATCTCCAGGGTGGCTAATTTCTTTGGGTTTTTAAACTGCCAGCAGTAGACTGCTTCCTTAGAGGCACAGATGATTTGTGACTTGGTCATACAGAGGTATACAGGCTCCATCTCAATGTACTTGGAGTCAAGGGGAGTTCCAATAGAATTACACAGGACGAGAACATACTACGGAGAAAGAAAAACAATATAATTACATAGGACAAGAACATGCTATTGAGAAAAAAAAACAATAGAATTACACAAGATAAGAGCATACTAGAGAAAAAAAAAGTTTTTGTATTTCTTTTCTATTGTTTATTTTAAATGATAACATATCACTTGAAACTATTGGATTAATAAATTAAGGTTTATACTCCTACTATACTCCTTTAATAAAAAGACTTTTAACTTTTATGGTTGATGACCCTTGCTTTAGTCAACAAACAATACTTATTTTTGTTTTGCTTTGCAATGTTAATGTAGTTTAATGAATAATTTGTAATAATAATAATAATAAAATGGATTTTTAACTTAGTTTATAACTTTTAAATCATAACCCTAAACCTGACTGAAACTCTGAACCCAATCCTAAGCCTTAACTTAATCCTAATGTTAAAAAAAAAAAACAAATTTAAAACATTTAAAATTACAAGGTAACAGTTAATTGAAATGCTACTACTTACTTGATTAGGTGGCTCATCACTTTTGGTAGCCAAACAGCAATAGTCTCCAAAAGCAGTGACAGCTATTAGGTTTTTCACAAATTTTATATATTTCTGTAAGTTTAAAAATACATTTGATAGGCTTTTTCCCAAATGGCATTTAAAAAAACAACTGAATGATAAAAATCAAATTTTAAGCAATATTTTCAAAATGTCATTCATTTAAAAAAATTAAATTTGGACATTTTGATAATAACTATATTTATTTTGCATATATTAATTCATTGATTTAAAAAGTAAAATTCCTTTTAATTTAAAATTTAAAAAGAACAAAGCTAAACTTAAAGAGTGTCATCAGTAAATTAACAACAAAAGCTTTTCAGTAAACAAGGTCGGTAAAAAAGAAACCAAACATTTTAAACCTCAGGGTTAAGGGAGGGAACTAGCAAGTTTCTAAAACTGTAACACTACACACACAGAGAAAAAACCAGAAGCAACCAAAGATAAATATACCTTCTTCTCTTCAACAAGAATTTTTGAAACCCAAAAAGGGAGAGAACTATCACTTTCTTCCTATAAACATGTGCATAAAATTATATAAGGCTGCAGCAGAAAATAAATAGTGCTAGATCATTTCAAAACAATATTGTTGTTTATTTTTTTAAATGTACCCTTTCAGAAGAAGGAGCAGTGTTTTTTAGATAAAAAATAATGGCAGTCTTGATTAAATAGCCAATCGATGTCTGCAATTCAAAACCAATACAGCCATGATTGTGAAAGAAACATAACAGATATTTATATGAAAACAAAAATGTAGCCTCTAAGTAAAAAAAAAATTCAAAATGAAATTTTAAAAAGTTTTTTTCTGCAAGTCAACAAGGAAATCATTTTATTAATTAATTTATAAAATATTACAGTTTAAAAATACTTATAAAGTTCAAATTTACATATTTGGTAAAGGTTACCAGAAGATGAAATTTTAAAAAGTTTTTCCTGCAAGTCAACAATAAAAAGTCTGATACAAGAAGCCACAAAACAATAGATTAAGGTAGCAAGAAAAATACCTCAATGTTTTTTGTGTCCCAAAATACAACACAGTGTTCAAGTCTATCAGGCTTTGTAAATGAATAAACCACTGTATTTGAACAGTATCCCCACTGAAACAAATGTAGATTAATGTGGTTAATTTAAAAAAATTGAATCTTTTCTTAAATTTTAAATTATTGAGTTTAAATATTAACTTGTGCTGTTCTCTTAACCATTTAGATAAAATAGTTTATAAAATATTAGGAAACATAATTTTTAAATATACAAAATAAACTACGAATATGTTAAATATAATTTAACTTTCTATTACAGTTGTGTCCCATTACCTTATAGTCCAATCGAATATTTGCAAAGTAGATAAAACTCCCAACTGCAAGAGCTATGCGAAGACTTCCACCTTCCCAGGAACAGGAAGACAAATCATTGCCAGGGACTTTCAAAGTTCTCAAATGCTGGCCAACAGAATAGACAAGTTATGTAGTAATGCTCTATCAGTTAAAAGACAATGTTTTACAAAGTCACGTTTGGCATACCTCACCAAATGGTGTGTAGAACTGGACAACGTTGACCTCTTTGTCCTGACCAACAGCATGCTGTGTTCCAGCTATGGCAAGGATGGAGCCAGTATGGTTCCAGGCCACTTGTGCTATTTGCATACCAGTGTCCACTAAAATGGGATCTTGAAGAAATAAAATCAATAAATTAAATGAAACAAATAATTTGAATTGAGATTGTTAATTTTAAATTATGATTTTATCAATGACAACTTCAGTGTTCTAAAAAGAAAATTTTAAATTTGTCAATTTAATTTGTTAAATTAGGCAGCCAAAGTTCTGACACAAGAATGACACAATCTGTAAGATAAACAGAGCACAGACATCCAACTTTAATTGGAGGTCTTAACCCCATAAGTTCATCAAAAGACTGCAGATGAAAATTATGCCCCTGTTGATTACTAATTGACCAAACTTTTGGTAGTAAATTGAGCTGTAGGGGCTAACATATAAAACTTTAAATCCTGGAATATCCAGCATTGCAGCCAATACCTAGGTAGCGTTCATACCCTCAACCTCTCAAGAAAACTTTATTTCATCTTCAACAAAGCAAAGGAAAAAGATACAAATTTAACGACAAAATTTTTGACAAGGATAGTTTTCTAAATAAAACAATTAAGTACCTTACCTTCATCAGTTTCATTCTTCATGATCTGACATCTTCCATTATCAAAGCATAGAGCCAGGGTGGGACAGTTTGGTTCAACAAAGCCACTCTGGCCATTGTACCACTCAAGCCCAGCTATTTGGATGGCACCAGTAACATTGGTTAGACAAAAAACTTTCATCTTGCTCTGAAAAATTAACAGCACACAAATGAAACATTTAACTGTGATTAAAAAAGGAAAAAAAATAATCTAAGTTACTATCAGTATCTCACATTTGAGCCTCATAATTACACTTCATTTTTTAATAATTTGCTTACAGTCAACACATAGCAAGACTTACTATAAAGTTGCCAACATTGTCAAACACCTGCACTTCTCCAGTTGCTATCCCAAAAAGAATTTTTTTACCATCTGGCGACCACTGAAATGAGCATTTAGTATGAGCTTCAATGTGGCAGAGTGTAGAAAAATTTATTTTAATGCTATTTTACAAAATAGTGGAAGAAATAGATAAAGCTTTAAAAACAAATTATATTTAGCATTTTAAATCCACTACAAAAACATGCTTCAGAACAAAATTTAGAAATGAAAATTTATTGTCAGTTATTGTCAATCAGAAATAACTTTTATCAGTTTTAAAAGATTTTGTTTAACACATGACAAATCTCAAGTACATTTGTGTGACTTACTTCAACACAAGCTAAGTGTAAGGATTTCAGCTCTTTTCCCCAGATACGATTTCCATCTAATGAACCAACAATAACTGCACCTTAAAAAAAATGAGGTAAAGCTTGTAATTGAACTCCTCTGATTACTTGTATGTTTGTATTAAAAATATTTTTGTCACTAGTCTGCAAATTTTAACTCTGAATATAGGCATCTTAAAGTTTTTAAAGAACAGTGTGGTCAGACAGTACATCATATGTCTGCTAACCCAAAAGTCTACAGTTCCCATCCTTGGCTTGAGTTAGTAGGACATCCTAGAGTCCACCCAGCTCTGATGGGTACCTGACCCAGGTTAGGAAAAGCAGAGGCTGACCACACTATTCTTTTATTTGCTGAGGTCACAGATACAGGTAATCTCTACTTCATCTGCCTTATTGACCAACAGGTTCAAAAAAGTTTTTACTATTAATTTCTTATGTGTAGGAAATACTTAAGAGCTAAAATTTGACATATGAATATGCTAGAAAGCAGAATGCTAGAAGAGTGATGCAAATTCATACCATCCTCATAGACGATACATATTTTCTGTCCATCTGAAGTCCATTTCATACCCTTAACCACAGACTTGTTCCTGTTGTTGATCATTTCTTCATACCATGATCCTAAAATTTTAATGAGCTTTTTGTAATTAAGATAATTCTTCTAAAATAGCATATTTTACATAGTTTTGTTTGAAATCATGTAAGATGAAGTCAATGAAATTACTTTATTCAGTTTTTACTAAACAATCAAATATGATTACCTTTGTAAAGCATCCATACTATTATTAATCCACACTGATCACTTGTGGTCAGTTTCTGGTGGTGTTCATTCCATGCCACAACTTGAACAGCCCCTTGAGAAATATAAGTAAATCTTTATTATGTATAACTGTAGCTGTAGTAATTAAGGAAAATAAAATAAATTATATATAAAATATCACATAGATCAAATAATTTACTACCATACAATTGCATTTTTTTAAACAACATAAACATAAACAATCCATATAAAAACTATTGAATTACCATTATGCCCTTCTAGTGACTGATTCATCGATAGATTACTAGGTGCAGCAAGTCCTTTGATTTTTGCATCTCGCCCTAAAATGCAGATAAATAAAACTGTTACAATGCTCAAAAAAATAAAGACGCTTGATGTTTATTTCTCAATAATTATTGCAACACTTTAAAAGCACATTGAAGAAACTTATTTCAAAACCTGTTTGAGCTTCAAGCTTTACAACTTTGAGCAGTCCATCATCCCCACCACAGGCAATATAACCATGTTGTCGATTCCATGATACACAGTGCAGACGTGTGTTATTAGGAATGGCAATCTAATAATAAATATTTAAATAAATTAGGCTAGCAGAAAGTTTTAACAGTTTATGATGTAAATGTTACTTCAATTATAAGTTATAATAGATCTATTAGTTTAAATTGACCTAATTCCTAGTTTATCTATTTTCAAAAATGACTTTTAGTTGGCTTGATTAGTAAATATTGATACAGGATAATTTTGTTAAAGAAGTTTGGTTCAGTTTAGCACTTGGGTGCTGATTTTCGCTGAGAATTTTTAAGACTTAAGGACTCTATTTAAATATTTAAATCTATAGCACTACCAACATTAGTGAGTGTGCATTTTATAATTTTATTTGAGTTTAATTTTTTTACTTTTGATTGACTTTAAAAAAAATTAGGCTAAATCGAAATTAAAATTAATTTGCAATTTTTGAATTTTTAGTTTTGTTGCTTATATATATTATTCTAATGATAAATGCATCGATACGCTTTTAAAATTGTTATGCCTACCTTTTTGCTGAGATAAACAAACATATTCAAGCTTTTGATTAACAATACCGCTACGAGTTTAGATCTAGAGATTCTAGATCTTGATACTTGTACTGAGCTTCATAGTTTGGTATCATAGGTAAACAACTTCAGTAATAGATCTCGGAATTTCTCATCAGGAACGTTGCTTATTAATCAAGGCAGATTTTTCTCAATAATAAGCCAAAAAGGAAAAAAATAATTAAAATTATTTGTTTTCTCTTCTAACTGCAACGTTAAAATCATACATAAGAGAATGTGATTTTAGAAATGCACGAGCATTTTAAAATAGCTTTTAGCTTTAATTATAAAAATGCAAATACAGCATGCATGCAGTCTAATAATTGCAAGTAGAATAACGTTTGCGTAAATTGCTTGTTTTTTTTTTCTAAACGAAGAAAACATTCTATCTAACATTAACATTATTAACAACTATTTAAATAGATCAAAATGTCATGCTGTTGTTTTTTTTTTGGGGGGGGGAGGATCAATGGGGTGATAAATTGCCTTAATCATTATGCATCGCGGTAGAAATTATATTATTCTTATAATCACGATTGGGGACGCTTCACAGCAGTTGACACTTACATGGAAGACAGTAACCCTTCCCACTGCTATAAAAGATATAAGGATAAAGTTGAACTCAATAGAAGGCTCTGCCTCTTTATAGGCCTATCTTTAAACATTTTTTTTTTAAAGTAATGAAACGCACATTCAAAATTAAAAAATTCAGTTAAAATATAAAGCTCCTCAATAAATCATCTACACAAGTGCCTTTCCCCCATCCCGACCTTCTAACCAAAGGCTAACGGGTTAGTCCTACATCTTCTTGCTGAAGCTGCACAGTGTGTACACAGCAACACAGGTAAGCGCGCGAGTAGGGGGGGGGGGGGGTATAAAGAAAGTTAAAAATTAGGCAGGGGTGCGTCAAAAAAGATGGCCGACTGCTCTTATACTACCTAAACTTTTCATCCAAAATTTATTTCAAAGGAAATAGTTACAGTTCTAGATCTAGAGATTCTCTAGATCTAGAATCTAGATTCTACTTTGTCTAGTTGATGTCGATCGATTCTCTGTCTTAAAGAGTGTCTTCTTGTGTAAGATTTAAAAAAGATAAAAATAAATTAAATGTTTTTTTATTTCAGTCTAAAATCTAGAATAGATCTAGATCTAGAATCTAGATCTAGAATCTAGATCTAGATGTCTAGAATCTAGATCTAGAAATCTAGATCTAGATCTAGATAGTTACTAAACTTAACTAGATCTAGTTAATGTAGTTACATAATTAATTAATATTAATTAGCATAAGCTTTAAAAAACTGAAAACTGCATTTCCATTTAAACTTCAAATAAAATAAAATTAACTATAGCAGTGTTGTGTGAATGTTTGTGTAGTGTGTGTAGGGGTTGGGGGTTTAAGTAATAAGTATGTTTCAAATTTAATATTAATTTGTATTATTATCATTTATGTGTGTGTGTGGGGGGGGGGGGGGGGAAGTTATTGCCTCCTCCAGAGACAACTAACACACACTGGTAGTCATAATTTGATTTAGAATAATTTAGATCTAGATTTAAGTATTGCTGGACATTCACAGTTATTTGTCATTATTTGAATAAGTTTTGATGTTTAACTTTTGATTGACAGTTGTTTAAATTGTAGGCTAATGGAATTAAAATAAAGTTCCTTTTTTTACACTTAACGTTTTTATATTTCCAGCATGAAAACACAGAAACCATATTAAGGCAGAATGATATTAAACAAGTTTTACGTTTCACCAGTCAGCAAATTATCAAAGCACGATTCCCATATCATGATATTTTGCAATGGATGAGTGAGTACTAAGAACTGCAAAGACAATGGGCTATGTGACTGTAAACTATCATCACATTAACATTCCAAGTACAAGATGGATTTCAAATTTTGTATTAATCAGTTATATAAAGTGCCTTCTTCTCACCAGCGTGCCAAATTTATCTTGGCTGGTACAAGCCCAGCTTCTGGGAGGTGTTCAAGTAAATCTAAAATGCTACAGAAATATAAACCTTACTGGTGGGTGTCAGCCGCTGACATCCAAATTATGTATGGGCACTGCTCTGCCTTTTACGCACACTTCCATTTCTTTGGTTAATGATTCCCAGACACTGGATGACGTTTATGAAAAATTGAGGTTATGGAGTGGTCTTCGGAATGTGCCTCAGTGCTGGTCTGTGGTTCAGCCTTTTCTATGCTCCGTTTATCTTCCAAAGTAAGTTCTTTTTTTTAATAAGCCTAGTTAATAATTTTTACTATTTTGTTAATTAAATAAGACCTTCTTCCTTAAAAATTTGATTTTTTTAGTTTCTAGTAAATAGTCTACTTATTTGGATATTTGAATGAATATTATTATTAAGAATAAAATTATTTTCTACTTTTTATATAGATGTAATGACACCATTGGATTGGAACTTCCTAGCAAGGAAGTATGTGAACGTACAAGAAAACCATGCCAAATTGTCCAAGAGATTAACAATGGCTGGCCAGATTTTCTGCGCTGTGATCACCCTAACTTTGTGTCTGGATGTGGGGTTAGTGAAGAATTGTTTAACTCACATTATATTTCTGTTTTAAACTTTTAAATACTGTATATTCATATATAATTAAAAACTGCTACAAATAATTTTATTGTTTTTTTCTTTTGCAGCAAGAAACTTATGATAAATTGCCTTTTAACACTACTGGCAAATGTGAAAGCCCATTAGTTCGCACAGATGACCCAGGTAGCTGGTACAATGATGTGGATGGGTGTGGTGTTCCGTGTGATAACCCCTTGTACACAGCACAGCAGCATAATGAAGTTCACATTTTTGTTGCAGTGTTTGGCTCCATTTGTTTGGCATGCACACTCTTCACTGTAGTAAGTTTATCTTTACCCATCTTTAGTATATTAACAACTTCCACAATAGTAAGATTATCTTTATCCATCTTAATTTTAATATATTGACATTTTTCTAAAAATCTTTGGATTTAGTATTATTTAAATTTAGTTACACTCACTCGATAAGGAAAACATTTGGTTTAGAAAATATATAGTGTTACTACCAATTTAATTCTTTTTATAACTCAAATGCTAGGGATATTCACTTTAAAGTGTTTGCTTTTTTATTTTTAAAAAAACCTCTTTATTATTTTTTTTTTAAATAAAGAAATTTCATGATGAAGATCTGTAAGTAATTTATAATTGGATGATGTAGAGTATTAAGTCGATTTTTTTATATGATCATTGTCTTTTTACTTTCAGCTCACATTTATAATTGACTGGAACAATGCCAATCGTTATCCCGCCCTCATTCTGTTCTTCATCAATGCTTGTTTTTTCCTGGGGAGCATTGGTTGGATGTCCCAGTTTGTAGGAGATGCTAGGAGGGATATTGTTTGCAGAAAGGATGGAACTGTGCGAAAAGGGGAGCCAAAGTAAGTGAAGTCTACTTTTATTTTAATGTAAGGCATCATATAGGTTTTTAGCCGTTCAGTTATGGTTTGGTTTAGAAAAATTGTTAAGTGATCTGATATTCATCATCATCTTTCCCAGGACACAGGTCCACTATAAAAATCTCTATCCACTTTTACCAATCTCTGGCAACTTTTTTTCCAATATTAACATTTAATATTGGATTTCCTTTTTTAAGTCCACTGAAAGGATGTGATTTAATTACATTCTTTTTAAATTTGTTTACAAACTTTTATGCATTTATATTAGCTAAGTACAAGCTGTTGGAGTAAAGAAGTGTCTAGTTTCTGTAAAAGTATATTATCATTATACAATATTGTATATAATATATATTTTATCATTATTTTTTTAATAGTCCCTGTTTCTGTGAAAAAGTTGGATTGGATTAGATTGACAAAAATTTAATGCACGTTTTCTCTAGGTCCAGTGAGAGCATATCCTGTACTGTTGTTTTCATCATTGTCTACTACTTCCTGGTTGCTGGTGTGTCCTGGTTTGTCATGTTGGCGTATGCCTGGTACCTGACCTTCACAGCCCTGGGGACACCTAGAGACACCCTGCATTCCAAGACGGCCTACTTTCATCTCATCAGCTGGTGCCTGCCCCTTGTCCTTACAATTATATGCCTGGCCATATCAGAGGTAGTGTGATGTGGATTGTCCATAACAAAAATGTGTAGGCACAGAGAGAGATTGTGTTAGAGTAGCCTCCCCTTGAAAGTGGTGTGCTAGCTGGACAAAGTGTGTGAACGAGGCAGTATGTGAAGCAATGTGGTGTGATGTCAACATCTTATACCTACCCGTCAGTTTTTCTTCTTGTAATGTGTTTTTGTGTTTGTCCGAAAAAGAAAGTAAAGTTCCCTTTTGAACCTAACAGGACGGAGTGGTCTAGCGGTAGAGAGCTGGACTGCTAACCTGTAAGTCTCGAGTTCGAATCCGGGTTCAAGTCAGTAGACCGTCCCTGAGTCCAACCAGCTCTGATGGGTACCTAACTCACGTTACGGAAAGTAAAGGTGGCTGGGCATAGTGCTGACCACACTATCTCTTCATATGCCGAGGTCACAGAAACAAGTGAACACTTCTTCACTTGCCCTATAGACCGTCAGGTTTGAAAAGGGAACTTTACTTTACTTACTTTGAACCTGACAGTCCATAGGGGCAAGTAAAGTAGAAAGGGTGACTTATATCATTGAAAATGGCTAATCTATGAAAGATGTTTGAAATGTTTATTTTCCTTTTGACACTCAAGGTTGATGGGGACTCTGTGAGTGGCATTTGTTTTGTTGGAGGCTTCAACCATGGCATGAGAGCCTTGTTTGTCTTAGTGCCTGTTGGTCTGGTCATTGTTGTTGGCACTTTCTTTCTGCTGAGAGGTGAGGAACTAGGGCTATCATCATTAAAGCAATACAGATCACCTTTACCTTTAATCAAGTCTTTTTAATTTGAAATTTTTATTTTTACAATGACTATTTTTCCATTAATCTTTTCTAGGTGTTTTTACCTTGATTAAAATTAGGAAAGAAGCACCTGTATTCATCCCTGAGAAAACTTTCTCCAAAATACGAGACACAATACTAAGACTTGGTAAATGTTATTTTCATTTTATTTCTCGCAGGTCCTAAACCAAATCAAAAGATGCTAAATAAAACATTTACTTTTCATTTAGAGTTTTCTTTAAAGTAAATCACATCTCTAGAGTATTCTTAAAGTAAATCACCTAATATAGTCCATGGGTCAGATAAAGTAGAGTTCATCTGATTCTCACAACTCAGCATTATGTGGTCAGGACTATTTCCAGCCTACTTTACTGTCCCTGGCTAAGTAGACTCCCAGATACCCTACAGACTATTGTGTAGGAAATAAACTTGAACCTTTTATGAGAGTAATCATGCACTTTAGTGCTTGACCACATTAATAATATTCCTTTTATTTGTTTGCTGTTATTTGTTTTACTAGGTATAATATATATTTAAAACATGTATGTGAATGCGTGCCTATATATATATATATATATATATATATATATATATATATATAAAACAACTAATTTTATAAACTGTATTACACTTTTCGTTAAAGGTATCTTCACAGCTGTGGCATTAATTTTTGTGTTCATTACCTTTGCCGTCCATGTTTACATTTTTGCCAATGAGGACAGGTGGAGGTCAAGCTTTAGAGAGTACATGTAGTAAGTACAACTCTATTGCTGCTTAAAAACATTCACTTTAATGGATCTTTTTTAAGTTTTCATAGGACAGTATAGTATGATAGAGTAAGTTCCCTTTTCAAACCTAGGGCAAGTGAAGTAGAGTTCACTTGTTTCTGTGACCTCGGCATATGAAGAGATGTCCAGCCGCTTTTTCTTTCCCTAACGTGAGTTAAGTACCCATCAGAGTTGGGTGGACTCAGGGACGGCCCACTAACTTGAACCTGGATTCAAACTCGACTTACGGGTTTGCAGTCCAGCTCTCTACCGCTATACCTCTCCGTTCCTTAGTATAGTATGATATTGAATTTTATTCTTCTGGTAATGCCGTTATAGTCATAGCTAGAGCTTGGCTTAGGATAAGAGCCATGATACCAACAAAAACAGCTTGCCTGTGTTTTACCAATTAAAAATATCCCTATGGGTAGCAGGATATCTCATGAATCTCAGCAGTAAGGTTAATTCAATTTTATTTTATACATTTATATTAATTGACATATTTTCCAACTTTATAAAATAGATTTAATTAAAATTCATTGTGTTTTAATGTAAGTCTTTTTCTGTATTTGTAAAAACATATGTTTTGAAATCACCAGCTGTGTAGCTAATGTGTCAGTATCAGCTGTACACACTGGGTCCCAGACACCCTGTGTTATCAAAGATAGACCCAGCCTAGTTGCAATGGAGATCCACATTTTTGCATTCTTTGGTGCAGGCATTGCCATGAGCTCTTGGTCATGGACTAAGGCTTCTCTCTCAGCATGGGAGAGGTTTTTCAGGTGGTAAGTAAATCTCCACTTTTTAAAGTTTAATAATCCCTACTGAGTTATTTGACTGTTTATCTCTCACAGTAAGGAAGAGGTTTATTTTAGATCAGTATTTATTTACTAATACATTACCTTGTGCTTTCTGGAAATATTCTCTGTAGATTAAATAAAAGTACTCTTATATAAATATACATAGTTATGTTTTTTTTGTGGTTAAGGATATTTCACAAGCCTTCCAATAAACCAGTCAAGCTAAAGAGACACAGAATGATTGCACAAGCTTTTGAGAAAAGGAAAGAAATTAATCAAGGGAGAGTATCCATTAGCTACAGAAGTTCCCATGATGACCCATTGGGTAATTGTTCTTTGTTTATTATTATATATTTTTACTTTCTCGTATATACGAAGTATAGAGAAAGTATTGTAATCGTGCACAAAAATCACTTGAAATTTTAACAATTTTCACCGTATTACACCTCAGTCCTTCATCACATCCGAAGTATTTAAAATGGATTAAAAATCATGTCTATAGCCCAATTCCCATCCCCTGTTGTTTTATATAAGAATATTCGAGAAAGTTTAGGGGAGATCACTCCCGGTTTATTATAACTCAGCACATTGAATCCATGTGATCAAACTTTGGTGATTTCAACAAAAGACAGCTTTCTAAAAATAGTATTTTCTTTACGAATGTTGACTAACCTTGGTAACTTGAATAATAAACCATGTTGAGAACAATCAGAGTAGTAGTTTACTTATCAACAACTAAGATAATATACTATTGTATTCCATGTGTAATAACCTTCAAATTATTTCTTGGTCCAACAGGTATGAAGTTTGATCTAAACAGTGGCAGTGATGACGAGCTGTCGTCCAATTTTGCCATGGCCATGCCAAAGCTTGTCTGTAGAAGAGGTGGGCTGATTTTCCCAGTGGCTGGGATGGGTAGGAGGTACTCAGACTCAGGTAAACAAAATTTATATATTTTTTTTAGAAAACATAAAGACCTCAGGGGGAAAAATGGTTGTCTGATAATTCAAACTCTAAAAATCTGGTGTCACTCTATTACTTCGACAATATGCAAGTGAAAACCCAGTACTATAGCTCTGTAAAATCTCGGGCAGATGAGGCTCGTTAGCTGGGGACAGCCACTCTTCTGGGAGAGACAACTCCAAAATCAAACAACTGCTGCCTTGTAGTTTGTTCTTGGTTGGACAAAGGCTATGGAAGCAAATCCAAAAAGAAAAGCAGGCTGAAATCGGAGTCAATGGCCTCAATGGCGCATAACCAGTTGACAAATAATCCTTAATTGTGATGGAAGCATGGTCGAGTCGGCAAAGCTCATGGTTGATAAATTCGAAAAAAGTCTCGAGTTTAAACCCTCTGGCAGATAAAGCTCGATCCCTCCCAACGCTAAAAAATTAAGAACAAAGAAGAAGAAGAAGTAGCTCTGTAAAATAATTTTTAGAGATGGGATATATTGGGATAACAAATGCTGCTAAATGTTTCAAATTTTTTTAGTAACTAATAGAATAACTTGACAACTGTAGTTTATCCCCTGTAGTCCTCATATGATGTCCTTGTCTATTAACCTAGTTTGGGTTGTTTAAATTTTAATCCATTACTTATCATTTCCCTAAATCATATTCACAGAAGACTTTTTTTTTTAAAGATGTAATACATGACTAATATTAAATTTTCACAGATGTCCAGTCAGTTATATCTACTCGAAGAGTGTCCAGGGAATCACTGGTTGAGTTCAGAGAGAGACAGTTTTTCATCATAGAACGGGACGAACTGCCAAACAGGCGCGGGAAGAAAAAGAAGAAAAAGAAACGGGGCAAGCTAAACCGGATAAAACCGGAGGTGGGGCCGATGTTTTCTGGGTTCAGGTTTGGCAGCGGAAGGTTTGGTAAACCTAGAAAGGGCAGCGACTCTTCTGCATTAAGTCAAATGTCAGGACGCAGTGTTCGTGTTTCTATGGAAAGAAACAGCATTGAGACAATCTCGCTGCAGTCTAACATCCCTCCAGATACAATACTACCTGCAGTGACAAAAGTGGAGAATAGAGGGGCATCAAAAAACCCAAGAATTACGCCATATTTGGAACTAGGCCCAGGGAAAAGGGAGACAAATTTTTCAATATTTACTGCAAAAAACAATATCTACGCCGGGTCGGGTGTTGCAGCAAAGTTGAGAGAGATAGGAGAAACCAGTATAGATTCCAGTATGAATCCATCATTGCCTGGCGCGCCAGAGGAAAGCGTGGTCTCCGTGAGTAAATCCGAGAAAAGCTCTCCTCAAAAACAGCAGCAGTTAAATCACCAACAGTATTACCAGGGTCAGCCCCAGGAGGAGCAAGATAAGGGAGAGAAGCCTGTTGAAGTGAAGGAACAGCAGTTAAAACAGCAGGAACCTAAACAGAAAAAACAAACAGCTTCGGCCTCGGTGTCTAAAAGTAAACACAAAACACAGAAGATCACGGTTGAGACTCATCAGGTCAGAGAAGGTGTGATTCCGCTGCATTCGCTGATGGCTGATATTTCTGGTGGGAATTGGGGGGTGCTTTTGGGGAAGAGCGGGTCAAGCTCCGGGTCTGATGGGGGTGGTGGTGGTGCTAGTGCTTACATGAGTGGGGGAAGTGCTTTCATGGGAGGGATGAACCCTTACATGGCTGGTGCTTATCCACCCATCCCACACATCAATGGAAATAATCCATATGCTGGGATGCATTATCCAGGTTTTCCTTACATGGGTGGCATGGGAGGTGCAAGCCCTTATATGGGAGTTCCCAGCATGCAAATGGGAGGAGCTAGACCTAAAGTGAGGGACCAATGGGGACACTTTCCATATTATCCATCCAATCAGAAAGCGTACAATAATTATACTGGTAAGAACCAAGAGAGGAGAGTGTTAAGAGAGAGACAAAGAGAACGTGAAATGCGCAGGCCGAATCAAAGCTATATTAACTCTACATTTGATATTGAAGATGATATTGAATCTATTTCAGCATAAAGTAAGATAGCATTTTTTGATTGGTAAAATGTGCCTAGTGTGGGCAGACTATAGCTGAAAAATTGTTTCATAATAACTCAGGAAAATTAGTTTTATTGTAAGGTTTTAAAGTTTACAAAGAATTATTATGCTTTGTAGAATTTGAGTAATTTTATTGAAATTTGTGTTAAAACTAACCTCAGTAGTTAGCAAATATCCAGATTTTGTTTCACAGGGTAAGAAAGTCAACTATTAAAGGGAGCTAACTCTAATTAACAGAGTTATTGGGAGTTAGTCTTAATTCTAGTCAATGCAGACTTAACAGAATTATTGTTTTATGGTTGTGGATTGCTTGTAAAGATTCTGTATGTTCAAAATAGGCTACCTAGCCACTATTATATTTTATTTACTGATATATTATACACACTGATATTATCAGTGCTATGCCATTTACAATTTCATCTTTTTTTCTCTCTTTCTTTCGTGTTCATTCACATATTAATATTTTTAAACAACTTTATAATGCAAGTGTTCATTTTTTTAAATAGTGTTTTTTTAATTGTTTTTTTTCTACATGCCAGTCTTAGAGTAGTTAATCTTACTCTACTCAAATCCAGGTCACACTACAAAGCAGAATTTTTTGATGTAGCATATAATTTTTTACATATTTATCCAATATTGGCATTATTTCATCAATTTAATTGAATCTCAAAGTAAGCAATGGCAAAAGAAAGCATAATATGATTTTACATTCATGCTGTTTAGCCTTGTAATTGTTGTGTTTTAACCAGTTATCATAAAGTGCCCTTTTTTTAAAAAAAAAAGATATATTTGCATGTCCCTTTTTGTTATAAAAATATATGATTTTAATCAGTATCTTATAATATACATGTATATATGTGTATATAAATGAAAATGTACACACAAATCTGGCAGCAAATCAACGTTTTTAGATTTCATTTTATGAAGCATAATCTCTAATCAAAATTGTCTCTATAAAACCAGGTGTTGTGTTCACATTATACCTTACTTATACAAAAGAGTGTTCTGTATTTTAGCCTAACACATACTTTATACAGTTCAAGTATGTGTTTTGTATACTCTTTTGTGAGCCTAAAACAGATTTATCTACAGCATATGTACTTACCTATTTTTGGATAGTAATCTTAACACATACAGTATCTTCTGCATACTCATTTTAAATACATATCTCCAATATACGTTTATTTATTAATATTTTAGATATGTGTCTTGTTTCATACTCAACTTGTACCTGCAGAGTATACAGTACCTTTCCCCTAATCCAGGGCCGTGCCTTATAATTTTAGTTTTAAAATTTATTTGATAAAAATAAATTGTGTAAAATATTATTTGTTTCTGTTTACACCTTGTGCCTTTAGTGGTTATTGCCTTAGTCCTATACTTTTAACATACAATCTTTTGATATTACTGTTAGCATACCCATGTTTTGATGCTAATTTGTTTCCTAGTTATCTTAACATATGTTCTTTTGTAATGAAAATCAAATTTTTTTGTTTGTTTTTTCCTGTTATGTTTAGGAAAATATAAAACTGTAGGATTAAAGAAATATATTTTAAATTAATACACTTTTGTTTTGTTGATTCTTTCAAATAATCAAAGAAAATCAAAGTTTATTGTCTGATGTTATCTTGAAAGGGATATTAAATTCACACTCAAGTTCAACACTTTGAACAAACAAGGACCTTGACCTGACCATAGGAAGTTGCTGTTCATTCACAATATAAGATGTAATCACTTCCTATACAAAAATTGTATTCGCACTGTAACCATAAACTTGTAAATAATTAAAATAATATATTATAATAATTCACGCAAGAGAATTTTGTAACCTAAAGAAACAGGAGCCCATAATTAGCGAAAATCTAAACTAAATCAGACTATTTTTTGCTAAACCTTGGCCCTAGATATTCATTCACCATGATTTTTGTGTGGTTTTAGTTTATAATTGTGATATACCTAAATATGATTACATTTAATTTTTAATAGGTTTAAAATGTATTTTATTAATGACCATCTGTAAGATGATGGTAGTGTAATTCTGAATTTTACCACCAAAAATTAATTAAAGACAAAGGTATTTGTGAAATGAATAATGTAATAAAAACATTTTTAGCTATTAACCTAATTACACATGAGGTTTTGCAAAAAAAAAACAACTGCCCACATTATAGTATCCCACTGACTAATTCCAAACTAAAAATTTAGCGGTTTAAATCAGTATATAGGGGCTGTAAAGCTGTGTTAATTGTTTTATTTCAGCTGTTAAGTTTCAAGACAATAGATTATAATATAACCCTAACAAACTCAGGAGCAAATAACACATTTTGCTGTTTAATATCTGTGTTTATTGTACGAATGTATGTTTTTTTTTACAGCCTTTGAAATCAATTCAATATTTGTTATTTTTTTTGTAGAAATGTTTTGATAATCTATATGGTAGGTAGGTATATGGTAGGCCTATTTAAAAACGTATCATAAGGCATTAAGTAATCATGTTAAGTGGTAACACTAGTGGAAGATTATCACAAATATTTATATCAGATAACTATGAGCAGTGTACAATTATTTATACAGCTTTAAATTCATTTAAAATCAATGACAGCCAGTGGCGTAGGCAGGGGGGGGTTAGGGGGGGTCATAACCCCCCCCATAGACCCCTCGGTATATATAAAAAGTATGAGAGGGGTGCTAATCGAAAGTTTGAGGGGGGGGTGCAAATCGAAAGTTTGAGGGGGGGGGTGCAAATCGAAAGTTTGAGGGGGGGGGGTGCAAATCGAAAGTTTGTCCCCGGGTAAAAATTGGAACCCCCCCCTTGAGACGATCCTGGCTACGCCACTGATGACAGCAACAAAAAATTTTGAAATGTTTCAGATGTGCACAATATTACCTTAAATAGTAGAACACTGATGGTTTACACTATTATCTAAGAATTATCCTTAATCCAAACACATTCATTATTTCAGTAATTTTGTTGCTTCCACTTATTAAAATTGGCATCATTAAAATAATTGTTCCTAAAATAATTGTTCCTGCTATCATTTTTATATCAACACAATGGATTATATTCTACCAGCCTTACCACTCAATACAACTACATTACACCTAAGTCCTGACTTTTGACATTATTGGACTGAACTGCTGTTATCCATGTTGATCTCAAATACTTCTTTACTGGTTAGTGTGCTCACTAGGTGTATGTATTACTATTATCTGTAAGGAAAATCAATAGTTACATTTATTTAATTTAAATATTAATTATATATATTACTTCTACTTTTCAAATTATTTAAAATTATGTTTATTTAAATATAAAACATTAACGATTCCCAATTTTTAAATTATTACTATTTGACAGACCTAGCTTCATGAAAACCATATTTAATTTTAATTTAAAAAGAATAAATGTACGCCTATGTTCTAAAAACACATTTTTTACAATGTACTTTGTGTTTTCGCCACTTACTGGTCTATTGGAATATAAATGAGCCTACTTCATCTGCTCTATCATATTAATAAAACTGCTTCTAATGATATGTTTGTGTTAGAAAAACTAAAGTGACCTTATAAGAAAACAAGTTGTTTTAAGGATCTAAACTTTACTATTTTACACACAAAAAAAAGATACATTTCTGTAGTAATATTTTTTTATTAACTTTTTTCATTCAATACAATTATAAACTCATAAATGCAAAGTTAGATATTGTAATAAATGATAAATGGAAAAAAGTTTGTTAAATGAACAAAAATATGAATGATAATGCTTTAAAAAGATTGTTAAACAATGAACAAATGTCAATTGTAATTTTATCATATTGCTTTTAAGTATTTGGTGATATGAAAATAGTAAAATTTCTACTGTCATAAAGGCTTCAAGTGTCAACATTTTATGGAGCAGTAAATTAAAAAGTTGATATCGTCACATAATATACATTTTCAAGTCATTCAGGTCAATTAATTACAACGAGCTATGTAATTAAAAAATAAATTAATTTAGTGTTTAGAAGGTTTTTTGTCTTTAGAAATTGAACTTTTTTTACTCTGTGACTTCTTAACCTCATATTTAGCTATCATAGCCTGATCTGGTACTGGTCTATCTGAAATCTTTTTGATTGCTACCTGTTGTTGTGGTTGTTCTTGCTGCTGCTGTTGCTGGGCTTCAGTCATCCCAAGCAAATCATCAGCATAAATGGGCGCCATCACTACGTAGGACAGTTTCCTCACAGTCAGCCATTCTTCAATGATGTTTTTAATTTTAGGTTCTTGGATGATTTGATACAGAATAAACTGTGGATATAAGGATTTAGAATAAACTGTGGATATAAGGGTTTAGAATAAACTGTGGATATAAGGATTTAGAATAAACTGTGGATATAAGGATTTAGAATAAACTGTGGATATAAGGATTTAGAATAAACATATCAGCATTCAAATTTTTCATAAGGGTTCATTTTTAAAAAGCTAAAAATCTGGATAACTTAAACTTATGAGTTTGTCTATATGATAAAATTCAAAAACTTTTTTTTGTAACAGGCAAATTATTATGAATTTTACATTCATATCTGTACATACTTACATCAAATACTCGTTGAACCGGCAAGCGACATACGTCCCATATAGGAAGTGACATGAGCAAGTAGCAAAGTCTAGGCTAAAAGTAAAACATCAAAAAATTGTTCAAAGGCAAGGTTTTTACTCAATTTACTTAATTTAAAAAATTGTGAGAGTTATCCTTCTGAAAATTAACTAATAATAACAATAACAATTAGGGTAGATGAAACAGAGTACATCTGTTTGTTTTTACTGACAGTGTGGTAATTTCTGTGCCCTTTAAACATTACTTTACCTAACTTAAGTCAGGTAAACATTGAAGCTGTGTGGAGTCAACAATGTTGGGGTAGCTTCCCAGTAATTTATAAAGGCTGTTATTTTTCAACACCTAGATCCAAAAAACATTTAGACCAAAGTTGTCTCTCAATAAAAATCTAAAGACCAAAAGACTGTTAGACTATATTCATCATCTTTTCCCGTTTGTGCTCAAGACACACAGGGCAGATGGAGTAGTGTTCATCTGTTTCAATCACCTTCGCATACAAGGGGATTATGTGGTTAGCACTATGCCCAGCTTCTCTTGTTTTCTTAATATGAGTTAGGTAGGTAGGCCTACCCTGTTAGACTAAATTTGAAAGTTTAAAATAAACTGCACACATCTAAGAGTTAGCCTGTTTAAGCATAATTTGTAAATACTTAGAACAGGATTACAATTAAGATTAATTTTTTATTGATCTAACTAATGATGATTGGGAATAATTGACAGTGGAACATTTTCAGTGTCTGAACATTAATTAAAAGTGAAATATGAAAGATTGGCTTTAGTGAGAACCAAATAATTTAATTTACAGTAAATGGGAAAGTAATCAATATGGACCAAAGCATTTAATTTAGAGTGAAATGACAAAGTAAATGACCTTAGCGAGAACCAAAGAGTTATCATCCATATGGTAAAAGTGGCCTAGATTTTCAAATGCTTCCAAGATCTCTCTACTGGTAAAGAGGCCAATGTGTATGCAATCTTTCAGTAGATCTTTAAACCTGCATTAAAAAAGTTAATTTTTTAAGTACACTGACTTTAAATAATGGAATAATTTTCATAAAGCTTACATTTATTGTATGTGTACTTTCTTAATCCAGTTACTAGACAACATTGAGATCTATTTTGTCTCTTTAACAACACATACATGTATTAGTAACTAACAAGTTAACATCTAAGCACTAATGTGTAGCTTTTAACATAAATGAAATATGCTAGTTAAGAAAAAACATCCATTGTTTTAAAGTAACACTTTTTGAATTAGGCATCTTCTCTAAAAACATTAAAATTTTAGCGAACCAATGTGGTTTCATGGGTTGAGAAATACTGATAAAGTTAATTAGAGATTGTAATTAACAAACCAATGTAGTTTTAGGAGTTGAGAAATACTGGTAAAGTTAATTAGAGTATGAAATTAACAAATCAACATAGTTGTGGTTTTAGGGGTTGAGAAATACTGGTAAAGTTAATTAGAGTATGCAATTAACAAGCCAACATAGTTTTAGGGGTTGAGAAATACTAGTTAAGTTAATTAGAGATTGTAATTAACAAATTTATGTGGTTTTAGGGGTTGAGAAATACTATTTAACTTAATTAGAGATTGTAATTAACGAACCAATGTGGTTTCAGGGTGTCTAGGTATGTTTTGTAAGCATCCACACTTTTGAATCCAGCATCGGATGCAGCCATCATATCCATCTGATTTTGAAAATTTTTATCCTTTGTTCGCACTTGTGTTTGCATGAGATATTTTATGGCAATGATAATACTTTCTGAGTGTGTTCTGAAAAATACAATGATAGAATAAAGTACATTAGAACTAACAAGAATAATTTTTGAGATATTTTATGGCAATGATAATACTTTCAGAGTGTGTTCTGAAAAATACAATGGTAGAATAAAGTACATTAGAAATAACAAGAATAATTTTTGAGATATTTTATGGCAATGATAATACTTTCAGAGTGCGTTCTGAAAAATACAATGATAGAATAAAGTACATTAGAACTAACAAGAATAATTTTTGAGATATTTTATGGCAATGATAATACTTTCAGAGTGTGTTCTGAAAAATACAATGGTAGAATAAAGTACATTAGAAATAACAAGAATAATTTTTGAGATATTTTATGGCAATGATAATACTTTCAGAGTGTGTTCTGAAAAATACAATGATAGAATAAAGTACAATGGAACTAACGAGAATAATTTTGAAAATAGGACAAGTTTAAAGTATTTTTAGAACACATTAAATAAGTAAGAAATGAATAAGTTTCTCTAAAAATATTGTAAAATTTAAATAAGGATTTAAGGCACAATTTCAGAATATAAACATGGTTTTTATTCTTTTTTTTTTTACCTTACCACCAATGATGATGTGAATTATGGGTATATGTCCTTTAAAAATTAAATGTTAAAGGGATTAATTAAGTTAATAAGGACAACATACCTAGTCACTGGAATGTTTTTCTTGTTGATTATATCTCTCTGAAGCCTGGTTTGGGCTGTCTCATCTGTGGTGTTTTCAGCTTTCTTTTCTCTATTGAATACAAAACCTTTTTTATTTTTTAGGAAAGGTAACGTCACGCTGCTGTAAACTGTATTCAGAATATGCTCTTTATTAAAATGCTGGTCACTAAACTAATCTTTTACTGTTGTCTTAAATGTTGATTTTTCTTCTAAGTACGCCAGTCAGTAAATTTTAAAACTTACAATACTTGTGTTAAATTGAGTTCTGGGGGTCTTTCAAGAGCCACTGTATGCCAAAGTGGTTTTGTTTTTTTGCCAATAATCTCAACTAAATCAGATTCTAAGGTTTTCTTTTTCACACCCTCTTTTTTGCTGAAAAAAAAAGCAACTTACGTGTATCTATATATATGTATATTTATATATACACACATATATTTATGTACGGTTACCCTTTAAAATGTAATGTTCAACTGGGCAGAAGATGTAGAGTTCACCTGTTTGTGTGAACTCTACATATGCAGAAATAGTCCAGTGTGATCATCAATATGCCAGGCGAAGTTTACTTTCCCTGTTGTAACTGAGGTATCCATCAGAGTTGGATAAACTCAGGGATCCTATGGGCTTCTATCCTATCTTCTGACCATCCATTTATATATATATATATATATATATATATATATATATATATATATATATATATATATATATATATATATATATGTATATGTATGTGTGTGTGTGTGTATGTGTATGTGTATGTATATGTATGTATATATATATATATATATATATATATATATATATATATATATATATATATATATATATATATATATATATATATATATGTATATATGAATAAGTATTATGTACACATACACATATGCACAAAAATTTAAGAATAGTATTATTTGAGTAACATACAGCAAAGGTCGTGCTTTGCCTCCTAAATAACTTCCTTGGCTCATCCCTCGCCTAAACAGATTGTCAGCAGAGGCTGATATCCCAGGAATAGTACCACTTGTTTGTCTAGTAGATTTAAAGCAATCATTAGATTGTGTCATGGTATGTCATAGTTTAGCAATCAAGATAATCTACCTACTAAATAATATCTGTAAGTTCTGTGTTGGTAACTTGTTAAATGACAACCTTTACTCTTATTGTGGTCAAATAACAATTAAGTACAAAAGATGAAAAAAAACATATAAAACATTATAATTAATAAAATTGCTATGATTTTTACAGACGTATATGTATTAGTGTTAATGTACTTACTTGTCAAATTTTTTATACAAAGGTCCTTTATTTCCAAACACTCTCATTTCTCTGATAACGTTATGAGGAATTGGATTCTGTTTATTCATAGAATTAAAATAATTGGTAGAAATATATTTTTACTACACTTATTGAATTATTCTAGACTAAACAATTTTACTTGGAACATGCAGTTAAAAAAGTGCAAGTTTGTAAGCCAATTAGGTCTGAATAAAATTACTTGACGCGTTATGTTACGAGGAAGCTCTTCAAAACTATAATAAAAAGAATTCACTCACTAAACTTCGAAGGTGCTTCGGCTTTATTAGATGCAGAAGTTTTAGTATATCATTCAAAGTTACAAGGAAGTCAAAAAATTCACCTTCAATTTTCTGAATTAGTGCCCTAAAAAGAATAAACAGTTTAAAATAAAAATATTTAGTTGTTGATTTTTAATAATCAACCAAAACAATAACATAACTAGTGACTAATATTATGTCACAATTAAAATGTTATTAAACTATACTCAAAGCTTTATAAATAACAAACATTTATTAAGTGGTAGTTGATAGTTGATAAGTCTTTGCATTGATACAGCTGTTAATAGCATTTAATTTTATGTACAATAATGTGCTGTAGAAATCTTTAGCCAGTTCACTCATTTATTGTTTTGTGTTTTGTCTCAATTAAATAGAGTAGCAACATGATATTAATAAAGGCTATATATATATATATATATATATATATATATATATATATATATATATATATATATATATATATATGAACATACGGATTCTCAGCAACTTCAATTTTATCTGGTAGGTATGAGACTCCTGGTAATATAGGAATTTTGGGATTTTGTTCCTTTTTAGAAACCTGAAAGAAAAATCAAGCATCTTTTTATTTTTCCAAAAAAGTTTAGTACTCTTTTAGATATGATGAAGTAGAGTTCATTTGCTTTTGTAACCTCAGCATTTGAAGAAATTGTGTGATCAGCACATCACCTAGCCACCATTGGCTTTTTCTTACTTAAGTGAGGTACAATAAAACTAAAGTAACAGAACTCAAAATTTTCAGGTTAGCAAAGTGTTAAGCCACTCACCATACAATCCTGTAAAAAAGCGAACTTTAAGAAATATACTTCCTTCTGATTTTTACTTATGTAAGAGATTTTGCTCAGCTTTGCTAAGGTTTATGTAGTTATATCTATACAGAGTTTCTTCCAGGCATCTCTTCAGGGGGAAAATTATATAGAAAATATATACTTTTAACAGTGTCCACACCCCAGAAGAAAGTCTACCACCCCCCCCCCCCCCCCCCCCGGAGAAAAAAAGTCTGGAAGAAACACTGTATCTATACTACTATAGAACTACTATATTAACCCCGCTCCATAAATTAGCTGACATAATTCAAAAACATACTTAAACCAAACTATCTCTAAAATAAATTATTAAGCCTGTTTATTATTTATTTAAATCTCTATACTCTATAGGTAGGCCACTATGACTGGTCAGACAGTTTCATATTAAAAATTTGTTTTTTAATTTGGTTTCTGTACCCCTACACATGATCATGTGATGCAATATTCAAAAGCAAAACCACAGGAAATTAAGCAAGTTGACATTAGTAGTTTTTGTTCTAAACTAAGGTATCACTACTAATTATTCTAATTAATTTAATTTAATGCATCTTGCCTTAAACTTTAAGTTAGTTAATAAAAATAAAATTAAAATATCATAACTCGATTGAAATGTCACATGAAAATAATGAATTTATTAATATTTTATTATAATGATAATAATGAGTAGTGATTTTATGACTTTTTCCCCAATACTTTGGACTTTGTGTCAATTTGCCCCAGAATGTTGTAATAAAAAGACATGAAATATATAGATTTAGCACTGTTTTTTCCATTTTAATATCAGAAAATTAAAACAGATTATGACTGATTATGATGAAGCTAAAGTTTACAAGATCTAGATAGATCTAGCTAGATTCTAGAATAATCTCTAGATTCTAGATCTAGATCTATTCACTTTGACTTCACTCAGTATTCAATTCACTAGATCTAATCTATATATTTAAAAAAAATTAATTATATAAAATTTATTAATCTTTCTATTATTCCATGAGTAGTAATTCTAGTTCAGTTTATTTATATTAATTCATAATTTATTAATTTATAATGATTACCTCTGAAGCTGCCATGTTGATATGGGATTTCCTAACTTTATTTCATGAGCAAATTAATAATAAACCTCTAGTTTAGTAATAGGCTACCATTATTTTTTTTGTAGTGTAAATTTGGTTGTTGCTACGGAAGCAATTGCCACCAAATAACGTCATTTGATTGGCTGCTATTAGTTCCAAGGTTTTTTAAATAACAAATCGGCAGTAAATAATCAAAAGTTAAAAGGCGCCGTAAATCTAAAAACTATGACTGAGCATAATGATTGTTCCAGTTCAGTGGTATAAAATACACATAGGGCTACACACACAAATGATTTTGATTCAGATCTAGATTTGAACTTTTATTCAAACGAATGCATTTTAAGATTTTATCTAGAATCTAGATCAGTGGTTTTTAACCTAATGGAGGGTACCGAACCTCATCAGTTCCATATGGACATATGGGATTTCCCCAAACATTTCTTAATACTTAATAATAATAGTTCTATCGGCCGCACTGACCAAATACGATCGTAAATTAAATCGTGTGTCTTGACCTCCGCCGAACCCCTGAGACTGACTCACCAAACCCCCGGAGTTCGATTGAACCCAGGTTAAGAACCACTGATCTAGATCTAATAATTCATTTAAAAAAAAATTCGTCCGTCTACACATGTAGAAGTCATGCTCACTGTTACATATTGTCACTAAATCAGTGGCGTAGCGAGGTCGGGTGTCACCCGGTGCGGCACTTAATGGTGTCACCCCCCCCCCCAGGGGCATAGAGACCCTTCCCAGGGACAAACTTTCAAATTTTCGATTTGCACCCCCCCCCCCTCAAACTTTCGATTTGCACCCCCCTCGAGTTTTTCTCTATATATTTTGATATTTTTTGCCTTGGTGTCACCCCCCTAAATGGTGTCACCCGGTGCGGTCCGCCCCCCCCCCCCTACGCCCCTGCACTAAATTACTATAATACACGCGTCAGCAAGCCAATCCCCCCCCCTCTCTCCAATTATTTTAGTAAGGGGATATTACCAAGCTAAGTTAATTTTGCCAAAAGTAGTTGTTGAGTTTATTTCCCCTTGTTAGGAAAATTAGTATTATATTATGGCACCTGCTAATTTTAACGGTTTGCTAGAAAGGTTATTATATAACAGTAAAATTAAAATTCAGTTTATGAAATACATTTTTAAAGTTAAAGGTTTAACTTGGTACACCCCCCCCCCCCACCCCATTACACATGTTCTCTAAAGTCCAAACCCTCTCCTGAGTTGTATGAAGTTATTTATGAAAGATCCGCTCCTCCCCATTTAGAAATATTTAAATCTGGGTAAAAGCTTACATGCAAACGGATTAGATTGGTGTGAAGTAAAGGCAACAGATGGTGGACTTTGTGCTTCAATCAAAAAAAGACTTCACAAACTTTGACAGTTACAAATTTTTAAGTATAAACAAAATTTGAAGTTCTAGTTGGCTAAATTTGAGTACACAATTTTATGACAGTGATTTTCAAGGTTTGCATATTTTTTGCACCTCATCAAATTTCTGTTTGCTAACACATTTAATGTGTAAGCACTTTTCACATTTCTTTCCATTGCATATTGTCAAGGAACCTATATGTATGTATGCAGTGTTTCTTCCAGACTTTTTTCTCCGGGGGGGCACTTGAAATTTTCGGGGGGGCGGTAAACTTTCTTCGGGGGGGCGGACACTGTTAAAAGTATATATTTTCTATATAAATTATATAAATTTCATTTCGTTCGGGGGGGCGGTAAAAAATTTTCGGGGGGGCGAAGCCCCCCCGAAGAGATGCCTGGAAGAAACTCTGTATGTATGTTTCTATGTATATATATATTTATATATCTGTGTACATTTCTAGCTTTTAAATACAGACACTTTGTTTTGTAATCATGGACATGTGCACTGGAAAGAAATTAGTGCCTTTCATCAAGTAGAACTTTGTCATGCCTAGTCAGCCATGCATTGTAATCTAATGTCATACTTTCATAACATTTCAGGACACTGCATCACAAATCCTCCTATAAACATTAATGTAAACATTTTTCCTGTTTAATATTTAATTAATGTTGTTCCAAATAGGTAACAAAGGCTAAAGAACTGATAGTGTTTAGATACCTCACATTCATATTTCTTTGTGTCTATTACCGACAAATCAACCCCACAGAAGTCTTGATAAACTAAAAAAAACAGCTTATGTTAAAATACACAAACAATACAAGTCAAAATTTTCCAAAGGCAAAAAAACACTATTATTAAGCAATTAATTTTTAATTTTCCAATTAGTTTTAGAAATAATATACATGCAACAAATGTAAGCTTGTCACATTACTAAACACTGGGTGGCCTCAATGTCAGCTAGAAATATTCAAGATTATTTTTTTCTACCTTAACCCTACCCGTCATTAGCCCCCAAACTTCAACATTTACTCAAATGGCCATCCGGTAAAAAAAAACAACCTTGATAATGATACATTTATTATCCTGACAGCATTTTTTATAAGAACCAAACATTGATTCCAACCTTCAATAAATTAACGGAAACAAAATATAATCACACAACCAGTTTGCATGTAAAATGATCTTAAGATTTATATAAGCTCATTTATTATAAGTTAAATCTTTTTTTTGTTACAAAAGCCAATTAAAAATTAAAAATAAAGTAAATTATTTACTTTAATTCAATCCTGGATAATTTCATATTTTCATGAATAATATTACCTTATGCATTGATAAACATTAAAGGATGAAGACATTTGGTTCAAATGCCCTTTGTGTAATATAAAAGCTGTCAACAACATGTTAACATTCACATCACATGATTTATAAATCTGGATAAAAACAGCTGGTACACATTTCAAATTTTTATCAACAATTGAAATATGCAAAAATGGGGGTGTTTCTAAAAATACACTGGGTGCAGAATTGATGAAAAAGTTGCTGCAGTGATTTTAAAGAACAGGAGTATTATTAACTTCACAAAGTAAGAAGAATTACAATAAAAATATTTCATTCTAATTCATCCCTCAACATACAAGTAAAAAAGTTAATTGTAAAGTAAAAAAAACAACCTTTTTTTAATTACTTAATTCAAATCACACTGCTGTGTTTGTAATGATCATGAGTTGAAACATCCATTGTATTTTCCTTACCTTTAAAGTATCTGTTGTTCTTTGTAAAATAAATACACTAATACATTCTGACCCGTTTGGAAATTAACTATTACCATAAGCAGGAGTATTTTCGGAGTTAAGGGGCAATCTAGGATTAAATAAATGCTACACTTAAAGGTGTCACAGTTCATTATACTGTCAACCCATTCCATGTGATGGGTTGTTTACACTAAATAATTGCATTGGGGTACAGCTAAGTGGAAATAATTGGACCAATATAAATTGGTCAGAATTTGACAGTTTGAATGGGGAAGGAATAAAACCTAGATACTGCAGGTTTAAAGAGTACAACAATAAACCTGTACAACTTCCAACACAACAATGAGCTATATTCCATCATGTAATAGTGAGCCATTGACTTCACTCTGAAGATACCAGCTTCAAAGAATGACTTCACTTTCAAAGTGATTTTACTATAACAGACCAAAAGCCATATTAAAATTTCAAGTGTCTGCAGAGGTCATAGCTGAATACTTAGAAAAGGATGGATAATCCTTCTTTGAAAGTGGTCTGTAATGAAGAGTTAAATCCCCAGTTTGTTTCCAAATAAAATGACGAACAGTTCTCAGGTCCATATTTGGATCTAATACCTAAGAATAATAATAAAAAAATTAAACACATTTCCTATTTTAGATGTTATTAAATAGACATATAAATGTTTCTACTTTTAGGCGTAAATAGATAAAAAGCATTTAACTTTTTTTAGACAGCTTTAGTTTAGCCATATCAGCTATAAAAACAACAAGGTCAAGTAAAAAAAAACAACAAATTGTTAAAGGAAAATAAAAAAATGTAGCAAAATACATGAACCAAAAGTTTATATATCTTCAAATAATAAAAAATGAAAACTAAATATACCAAAACAAAGAATTAAAAAGGTATTTTAATCATATCACCCTCAGCAACTCTAGCAGTGAAAGGGTTAAACTAGAAAATACAATTGAATCAACACACTTACCATATCATTACACAAGAGCTCCACTCTTTCTTCTGCAGCAGCTGATGAGACAGGCTCCTCCTCTTTCTCAGCCTCCTTTTCATGGCTGTTGCTATTGGCTGCCTGTGACCCTGCATCTGACCCTTGACCCAGCACCTTTTCATACACATGCTCAATAACTTTCCTCACATTGATCATGTCACTGGCTGACAATCTATCCCTAAAGTGGACAGGAAAAAGAAAAGATTAGATAAGGAAATAGTAATAGTAAATACCTTCTTGGCCACAGCACTGATGAAACAGAGTTTATCCTGGAGTTCAATGGACACCAGCGAGTTGACGAGATTCCTTCCGTAATGTTGTTGACATGGAATAAAAATGTGCTTTTTTAGATTTTAATATTTTTAGAATCAATGCTATACAAGTTGCAGATCCAGAGAACTTGAAAATAATTTGTTAAGTTTAAGGCTACATTTCTATTTATTTTCATCAAGCCTAAGTTATAACCCGATGTTTCACTTTCGTAAAACAAACATTGATTGGCTATAAAGGAACTCCGTGATCGATTTCTGACAGCCCTTCATAGTTATTTTGTTTACAAAACTTTGCATATCAAGTTTTTAAATAACTATGCAAATTTAAACACCATGACCTATTTTTTCTATTTTTAGCTTACAATGTGTACGTGTAAAATTTATGGCGGCCATTGTTTATGTCACCATTACACGTGAAAACCAAATTGTTTTTCCTTTTTTTTAAATTTTTATTTAGTTACCGAAAATATTAAAAACATAAAATACATCCAATCTTTAGTAAAGTCCGAAAAAAACCAGACATTAAAAAAAAGTATCAAATATGAAAACAGAAAACAACTTTAAAATTATTGTGACCCTCCATTTTGGAGTCACTTTGCACCTTAGGTTGTTTTGAGCTAGAACCAAAAATACTAGGGAGGAGGGGTTGTCTGGGGATTTTAAATTTTTTAACTCATTGAAAAACTCAAATTCAGCCATAAGCGATAAGCAACCCAAACACTCATGGAGGGTCAAAATTCATTTAGCTAATCCTAAGCAACTATTAATGTCTAGAAAAAATGTTATACAGAACTAAAAACACACATATTTTCATATTTTTCAAAGTTTAAACTTACTTCTTCACTGGTTTAATCCCTGTACTTGGATGAGGTTGCAGGAAAAATGGGAGCTTGTTAAACTTCGGCATTTCTTTCTGATAAAAATAAAAGTCATTGACATTTTAGAATTTAAAACCTTAAACTTCTAAAATGCCAACGATTTTGTTTTTCTCTAGCTAGAATTATCACTAAACAAAAAAATATCTCTTAATAGGGAAATCAAACTTCTAAGTAAAAATAGAACTAAACTTTAATAAAAAAAATTCATGTTCACTAAATCACACAAGCTATACTGGCTCATATTACCCTTGGTCAGGCTGATTGCAACAGAGAGTAGCAATTTCTGATATAATAGGCAAAATGACATTGGTATCTTCTAAGCCAGTAAGCCAGACTTCTAGCCTTACTCAGTCAGTACAGACTGTTTTACTAGTAGCAATGCTGAAACATCTCTGGTTCCTGTTATGCCAGCTTCTCAAGTTGATAAACAAAAGTGAAGGGATAATATGATCAACTAGCTATTCACTTACAAAAACAATGACGTCAAGAACCCAAGATGGCACTGTTTCCTTCAACAGCATCTGTTCTGTTTCCCCTCCTGCATCACGAGCCAGAAGTCTGAACAGTGTTCTCCCTCCTACCTCACTAGCAAACAAATTGTAAGATAACAATAATAAAACTTTATTTTGTAACAGTAACATTGGTCGTTATTTTAAAAAAATAACATTTTAACTAAGTAGGAAATTTAAAAGACATGGTAGTTAAGTGTTACTAAAAAATAATATTTACAGTTAAAATATATAATGGAATAGAATGAGAGTAGAATAAATGAACGAGAAATGTTGCAATGACTTAAGTCTAGGAGTTCATGAAATAGTTGTTTTATATATAGTTGTTTAGAATATATTTTCAGTTACAGATATTTTTATTCTATTTAGAAGATTATTCCACAAATTGGCACCAGATTAGGTGAAGCTATGTCTTAGGCAAATATTTATTAAAGAATATTATTTGAATAAATAAAAGAGTAAGAACTTATTTACCATAGTAAAAGTAAAGATCAGAATAAAGGTTTATAAACAAGTTTATAAAAAATTACCTAAATATCACTGGTGTGTGTCCAGGGACAGAGAAACAAGGGACAGGTTGTTTTTCTTGCTCTGGATCTGTTTCAAAATTAGAAATGAAGGACACAATATAACTGGTTACATATATTCATCTGTGTTGTCAATATACCATACATCATATTTACTGGTGAAAGTTTACATTTTTTAAATTATCTTATAAAGTAAAAACAGGTGCATTGCTGAAATAGTAATAGATATAAAGTAAAAAAATATATATGCAAATTAAAGTTTTCTTCTGAATATTCTATACTTAGATGTGTTTACAAAAAATACACACACTGTAATGTAAACTTTGGTTTCTGACAGATTCAAGGTTGCAAATAAAACCTAACAGTATCTTCTACCATAATAAGTGTAAAGATATGTGATATATCAAACTCCTATTTACCTTGAGTCTCCTCTGGATGACATTTAGGCCAGTAATCTAACAAGGCTTGTAACAAAGTTGTTCCAATATTAGCTACAAGAAAAAAGTTAAAAAATTACTATTAGCTTCATCTTTACATAGTACTATATTAGTACTGTAAGAGTATCATACTGTAAGAATATCATAAATTTTTTACAGTATTAATATTGTTATTACAATAATTAAAATAATACAGTAGAACTAAAAGTGAGTACAAAATATATTTTAAATGTTTAGCATGTAAGCTGATACAAGCATAAAATATATTTTGTATCTGATGTAAGTATTAATATTTCTTAAATGTGTTGCATGAAAGCAATAAAATATATTTTATATATATTGCATGAAAGCATGTATATATATATAAAAAAAAGTAACAACTTTTTGTTTCAGGAGCATCAGCTGGCAGCTCCAGCCCTAGGTCTCTAGTGGACATCCACGCAGCAAAACAGTCCGTCTCTTCTAAGTGGATCGTTAACAGCTGAAACCACATCCAGGATTCATTCAAATCAATAACTATCAACAGAGATTCAATTAGAATTTCTAAATATTTTTAATGCAACATTTAGTTTTAATGTAATTTTAATAACTAAATCAGGATATAATTAGAAAGTTAGAGAAAACAAAACATTAATTTTTTTATCTTTTTAAAATAGGAAGTTATCTATTCTCACCCCTGTTTTTAAATCAACTGAAAACCAGTTTGGAACAAACACCATTTTGAAATGCCTTTTCACAGTTTCCTCAAAATCAACATTACCAAATTCTTGAACTTTTCTAGCCTGCAAAATTGTTGATTTAATTTTTTTGTTAATTGATTAGTAATCAATGTTTACTGTGATAAAAATTATGCATGATTTACACACCAGTGATTCTACTTAGTAGCTTTCTATTTGTTAGTGTAGCACACAAATCCAAGTTTTTACAAACCTCTGTTCTTATTTTTACCAGTATGCCTAACATATTAAAGTTTTGTAAAACAAAAAGTCAACATACTGTTAGAACATCCCATAAAACAACATTTTCATCAGTATCCTTGGTCAATATGTGACGTTTATCATTAAGTACATGATACTGTCGTATACTTGGGTCACCTGCAAAAGAAAGGTAACAAATATAGGCATTTTTGAGAAAGTACTTATATTTTTAAAAATAAATTTCATAGCATACTTAAAAAATGTTGGTTCAATAGCTTTAAAAGGCTCCCTTTTAATTACAACTGACCTTTAAGTTAATTATTAATTTTTTTATTAATATTTATTAACCTCGGATGACACTGGTAGGTTGTGAAAATGCAGGAGTTGTCCTCCATCTGTCATTATCGTAGTCACCTGAAGAACGACTGTTAGGAAATTTTACCGGCTGGGAGAAGATGAAAACATCAGTTTAAAACGATAATTCAGATTTTTTTTCTTCTAAAAATGTATTTTCACTTAATATTTTAATTCATCAAATCAATTCTACCAACCCAATGTTTAAAAGTTTAAATCAATTCTACCTACCCAATTTTTAATAGTTGAATCTGTAGTTGATACCCAGATGTTTGGTTGTGGAGATGATTCTACAAGCTCTAACTGAAAACATTAATTTAAACAATAATGTACAGAGTAAGATGTGATAGAGAAAACAGTTACTAGCAGATTGTCATTATTATCATAGCTATTTAAAGAAAAAAACTAAGTCATTTGGGGGGTGGGGAAAGGTGTTCAAGTTAGTATTTGAAATGTGTACATCAAACATATCCTCTATGATATGGCTAAAAAATATCAATTTAAAAAATTAATGACCAAAATAATTTGTAAAAATTGTATACTACTTTGTACTCATGGAAAAAATTATGTAGAAGCCAAAATGAAACTTCTTTAATATTTGAGTTTTTCTGTTTCACACTGACCTCACCAAATATTTGTCAAAGACTCAAAATAGATTTCAAATGTATAAGATAAAATATCTAACTGCTATTTTCTATACCTTTAATACTGGGCTCTTCTCCTCACATATTAACTCCCTGTTTTCAGGCAGTCGAATGTCTGTGGCCCATACCCTCCTGTCTCGACCACCAGAGAACACCACAGAGAATGTTTCATTGGCCTGTATTCAGGAAATTAAAATATACAAGCAAACAATATATACATATTTATAATCTCTAGTGTAGTGTATAAAATACTAGAAAACACCACAGAAAATGTTTCATTTGCCTATATACAGGAGATCAGAAACAGAGAAACTAACAACACAACACCCTGTAACATATGAAACATTTTAAATGGGACAAACAACCCACTAGTATTTAAAAAAACATAGAGAAAATTTGTAGGTAAATGAACCTGTAAAGTCCACACTCCTTCATCGTGTACCCTAAATGTGGCCACACATCTCTGCTGACCCAATGACCAAAGGCGGATGGTTCCATCTGAACTTCCAGAGAGGCACTGAAAGAGTCATTAACATGACATGGGTTTTACTGACTGCCTTTCAAAACAATATCAATTACATCTGTTGATTTATGCTTGCATATTTTAAAATAAATATTCTTTGAATAAATTCCTGTCCGTAAAATTAATATTAAAAATTAAAATATATCATGTACCTGTGTTCCATCTTTATTTAACAATAAGGCTTTGACATTGTCAGTGTGACCTTTCAACTTCATAAGCTTTTGGCACATTCTAGTATCCCAGACACGAAGAACTTTTTCTGTTGATCCTGAGACTATCACAGACCCAGACTGGTTCATAGCCAGGCTATATATAGAATCTTTGTTGCCACTTAGGCTAGATGCTGAAATGGCATTCCAATTTCAAGTTTAAATCAAACCGATTTAAAAACTCAAGACAGATTTACTGGATTATGTGTCATGACCTAATCATTTAGCGAAACCCAATATTAAATAAATGTTGAACAACAGTGAGCTTCTTCAGAAGAAGAATTCTGACTTGAAAAATATTAAAACCTAATAACTTTGATATTTTACAATGTACAAGCACAACAACCCTATATTTAAAAAATAATATTCAAAATTTCTTTATTGAAGGAAAATTGTGTTTATTAGTCATATGAAATAACAGAAAAAGGTTTTTTTTTTACAAAATCGCAAGCGATAAAATTATTTTTTTTAATTATACAGAAACCAAATAAATATAAAAAACAACAGCAATAATTTTTTTTTTAAATTTCAACTTACTGGTAACTGTGTTATTCGAAGCAGTCAGTGCTGTCAATGTATTTACATCCCATAAAAATATTTGTCTATCAAGCCCAGCAGATGCCACCTGTTCCCTGTCTTTTGCGTAGGCTAGTGCCTTGACATAGTCTTTGTGTGTTCTTAATGTCGACATGCAGAATCCTTTATGAGCATTCCATACTTTAACAGTTGTATCACTAGATGCAGAGATCACTGAACGAGAAATGGATTCATAATTTTATTTTGCCTAAAGAGTTTTTTTCTCAACAGTACAATAGCTATATAATAATAATTTAATAATAAAAAAAAAATAATAATAATAAAATTAATTATAACAATTATTTCTTTAACTCTTTCTATACCATAGGCGTTTCCACCTCCTGACCTTATTATTTCTGTGACCCAATTTTTTTTTACACAGCCCTCACATACTTAAACAATTATAGCTCCTATGTTTTTCTAACCAGATTTATGTATTATACATCAAAATGAACAGAAATGAAATTTCTACAGTAGTAAATGAAGATAATTGTGAGTTATGTTAAAGAATGTAGTTTTTTTACATGTTAAATGACTTGTTAAAGAAACGATCACTAGCGGTGTAGAGCTGTACCTTGCGGATCGCGGGCCTACGGGGAAGCTGGCACAAGCCGCATCTCGCGGCTCATGGGACGGATTGAGTTAAAGGACAGAACAATAGAGTGGTAAAGTGTTTGGTCCTAGCCAGAAGGACTCAATTTCAGACTTGTGGCTGTAAGACATCACTGAGTCCATCCAGCTCTGAGGGTACCCAACTTATATTGTGGGAAAGTAAAGGTGGTTAGGCATTGTACTGACCACACTATCCCTTCACATGCCATGGTCAAGAAACATAAGAGCTCTACTACATCTGCCCAATGGATTGCTAGGTCTAAAGAGGAACTTAACTTACTTTACTTATTACTTTAAATATCATTTAATTTATACTTAGACTGAAAAGAACTGGACCTACATGTCCTTCCACCACAACATAAAACAATATCATTGACCCAGTCTGTATGGTGTTCCATTGATAAAATGTAGGGATCCTGAAATTTTCAAAAATATCAAGTTATTAATAGAATTTTAAATCAGTAATTTACTGTTATAAAAAAAACTGCAAGTATTTGTACAAATGGACTTCTATGTAACACAAGTTGCAGACTAATATAATACAAATTTATTGTGCCAAATGAATGCTACTTGTAACTTCTTTGTTTTTAATTGTAATGTTGGATGGGACATATTCCTATTCCATTATGTATTATGTTTCAACATTTTATGTGCCATATAAATAGATTTTTGGTCAAATTACACATAACTGACATAAATTAAAATTGTTCAGCAAAATATAGATATAGTTTTAAGGTTCCAATCTACTGACATGACATACACATTTTACTGTTAATTGTAGTTTTGAGAAATTAGTAATAGCTATGCAATCTTTTGCATTGAATCTGTTTTTATGTAAGTTTAAATTAAGCAGTTCTTACTTTATTTGTTCTAGTATGCCATATCCGAATTATAGAATCACGACCAGCAGAGTAAAGCCTGCCAAGTGTAGGATCAAACTGCAATGCATTGACACCAGACCTGTGACAACGCTCCACTTCATCTCGAATAACAAATGATACCTATTAAAAAAAAGAAAAGTCTCTCAAAAGCACATACAAACATTTTTTTTTACGATCAACTGACATAACTATTTCAAATAATTAAAAAAAGCAGTCTGACAAATTAACCACTTAAAAGTGATTTATGTCTGTGGCTTCTAAAATTAAATGCAACAACGACATTTTTACTTTCTCGTATATGGCATATAGGGGAAGTCAATTTTGTTTGCATGAAGTGCATGTCTGCAAACCAATAACTTGAGTACTGTTTCAGCTACGTGGACCAAATTTCATACAAAATTAGGAGATAATTCAAGCTATTGAAAAATTGGTTCAAAATATTATCCCAAAAATTTAAAATAAAAACTAGCGCACACACAAAACTTGAAAAAAAAACCAGTGTAATGTCACATTGTCATTGTGGGTGTTATATCCTAGTGAACTAGTCCCTATTAAAGTAATTATTAATATGATTTCCAATGATATGCTGCAGTGCTGCCAATAGAACTATTTAAATAAAGTCTCTTAGGGTTTGGTGAGTGCTCAGTAGTCAGTACCTCGGAAAAAGGTTTAATAACTAATATTTAATTATAATAATCCACTGCTCTAAATTCTAGATCTAAAAAAAACAAACAAAGGTTAACTGTGGGCTAGGTTTAATTAAGTGTAGGCCCCTAATGTACAATCAACAAAGGAAAGCCATTCTCAAAAATTTATAAAATTGTCAGTCAATGATGATAAGTGATGTTTGAGTATGTATATGGTATTATCAGCATCACTTTTTAAAATAGCTTCCATCAGGAATTTTAAAATTAGGCCCTTACCACTCACTAACATTTCAGTAACAGCATAGAGTAAAGTGGCGTCTGCTGACAGTTGCCTCTGTCCGGCTCTGTGCGGACACCTTGCTGTTTTTCGCTTAAAACAATAATTGTATGAATGTTTTATAGGAAACTAACGCAAACAACACAAAGCATGTCCATTTTTAAACACATCTGAGTCCATTTCTTCTATTTCACTCAATAGGGAGATTAATTGGAATTTTTCAAAGTTGCGATGTATGACGTTTTATGGTAGGAAACCTCACCCGGATGAAGAGCACTAGTCCCCGGATTAGAGGAATAAATCGAACCAATCATAGCTTAGTTAACTGGGTTAACTATAAATAGCTTATATATATATATAGAAAGCTATAAATATCATAGTTAAGGTTGTTTAAGCCATCTTAGAGGAAAAATTGGGGTGTCCGCATATTTTTTGAGGGTTAACCTTTTGCGGACACTAATGAAAAATCAGAGTATATTTCTTACACTTTAAGTAAAAAGGAGCTTTAAACTAATCTTGATACTCCAGATTTATATTTAAATTAAGTCTAAATCTAGATCTATTAGTTTTTAGTGATGTTTTTAGGTTTTAAAAATATTTTTGATCATCAAACGTGTCTACTAAGCAAAAAGTGAAATAAAATCTCAACTGGGTCCTGAGTTTCTTTCATGCATCACTTTAATTTAATTAAAACTTATTTCATATTTCTTCATATTTTTTGTTTTCCAATATATTAATATATAAAACAATCAACAACACTATTTATGTATGTAACATGTTTATTTCAATCATTTAAATAGAAACAAAATGAACAAAATATGCCTTGTCCGCATAAGGAGCAAGTGTCCGCACAGAAAATAAAATGTAAAAAAAAGTGCACTTACTGTCCGCACAGAGTCTCACCACTGAAAATGTTAATACATTCAATGCTATGCGTATGAATACAAAATGAATCAGACGTGATTAAACTAGAAAGAATGCGGAGTGAGACGGTACTTTCTGTTTGTTTCTATGTGAAGCGGTTACTGAATGGCGCTCAATGGAAATCGGCACTTCCGATTTTTTTGCTACGACTGTCCGCAGACGCCACTTTACTCTAGATCTAGAACTAGATTCTAGATCTACCTAAAAAATTTTAAAATGATTTTATTAAAAAATTTAAAAAACACTGTTGGTTGATCCATCTACTTTACTTATTACTTTAATACTTAGTGATACGTCTACAATACCTGGACCTTTTTACGGCCTTGATTTGTAGCTCCTTTATGTAGCGACATTGTGCTATACTTAAATTGACATTTAAAATTTTAATATTTTAAAATTTTCAATCGTACTCTCAATCATAATAATGGTTTTTTAACTATCAAAATCATTAACAGGAAGTGTTAACAATAACAATGCCAGTCCCGAGGGTAAAATACTGAAATAAGTTTAAAAACCAAATTAAAAACTTTTAAAATAAACACAAACATTATGCAAGGTTGAAATATTGATTTAATTCAATTATTTAGCGATTAATATTTTTTATTATCATTTTAAAAAATGGCGTTGAGGAATATTTTTTTATTTTCAGTGCGGACTATTGTTTCCTCTTCATCAGGAAGCGTCTTTAGCAACGAGTGGTAGATTTTGTTGATCAGGCTTACAAATAGATCTACATTCATTTTAGAATCTATTATTTGAGAGAGAAATTTTATAGATCTAGATGTCTATATATTAGCTCTAGATCTATATATTAAAAAATAAAAATGCCCCCAAAAAAGAAAAAGGGAAAGGGGAAAGGAAAGAAGAAAGGAAAAAAGAAGGATGGTAATATTAGTAATAACTAATAATTTTATTTTATTTTTAAACCACATGAAATTTATAAAATTTACTAATAATTAGATTATTTAGATATTTAGACCTACTTAATTATTAAATATTAAATTAATGAAATAGCAAAATATTAGGCCTACTAATTATTATTATTATCATTATTATAAACTTATCAAATAAAATAATTAATATTTTGGTTAATATGCATATTAAGGGCTAATAAACTTAATTATATTTCCATTAATGACGTTACGCTTTTTCAAATGATTTTTACCTCCCCCTTCCCTCCATCACACATCGTCATAAAAAGCCAGAGCCCCCTTAAAATGACATCACATCTCGGCCTACAACCCCCCCCCCCCCCCCCCCCCCCCTCAAAACCGCAATTGAATTTTTCTTGAAATACAATATTTTTCCAAAATCTTGTCTGAACTGTGTCACAACATAGAGTATTTCAATCAATTCCTATTATGATTTATTAAAACAGTTTTTTTAAAACGTGAAATAATGGCTGAAATTTGTTTTCTAACATTGCTTTTTTTAATGCAAAAGTGTGATGTTACACCATCTGAAACCTCCCCCTCATCACACACTGTCACAAAATTACGGACCCCTCCTCCCCCTACAAGTGTGACATCATTTATGTATGACCCCTCATCTTGAATTGAGATTTGAAGAATAAGATTATTAGATCAAGAAGACATGAACAGAAAAAGCAAAAATATTGTTGCTCTAAAAATAATTTAAGAATTATGTGTTTAATTTTGTTAGATTTAAATACATGGGTAGAGTTTATTTGGTCATTTCATATTTCTTTTTTTTTAAATAACAGATGCTCAACTGGAACTGGAAGACACCTATAAACGCACACTGGATGAAATCGCAGCACTTAAAGATCACCTAGGTTTATTTTTCAGCGTTCAGTATTAAATTAACTTGAAGTAGTAAAACTCATCAAAAAATAAGTTACTCAAACATAAATTAATAAAATATAAGTTATTTTTTTAAACTTTGAATGTAATAATCAACATAGTTATATAGAATTTATTATATTTTTAACAGCCATTCGCAGAGAATTCACTAGACGTGCAAAGTCAGATAGTGCTGAAATGGCAAGGAAAATGGAAGGAGCAGAAAAAATACTTGAGGAACAAAGAGTTGACCAGAAAGCTATTACTGCTGGTAGGAATTATATCGCTAATTTCTAAACAGATTTTCAAACTGCTTATTTATTGGCTGGGTACCAAAACAAGCAAATATTATTTGAAAAATACAGATGAGATGAGTAAAACTTTATGTAATTAACATCTCAACCTATTAAATGAATGCAATCAAGTAGACCTTGCTGTAGTGTAAAATTTCATTGAAGAAACAACGCAATTTTAAAAATGTAATTGATGTTATTGGAAGAATTATATGTAAAATAAAGTGTTTTTTAAACAGATTTGACCAGACAGTATAAAACAATGCAGACTGAAATGGGACTGAGAATACATCAACTTGAGACAGAACTAGGGCGCACCAGAGCTCAGTTAAGTAAGATGCAATTGTATATCAATTCTATTTCCTTTTATTAGGACTGGTGGCTTTACCTTAACACAAACTTGGCTTAGGTTTAAATTTATAACTATGGTTTGGGTTATTTTATTTTTACGAATACTAGAAATACTATATAGATTTGCTGAATGTTTTACAATCTAGTATTCCTTTTTGTTGCTTTTTTTGCAACACCAATGTGCAATGCAATTTTATTGGCTTTTCAAGGTTCGACTGAAGCGGAACTGAAAAAAAGCTATGAAGATAGCAAGAAATGGATTGATGAGCGTGATGCTATTATTGTAGATTTAAAACTTAAAATTGATTCTATGGAAAAAGCTTATGAAAATGTGCTTAAGGTATGTATTATTTAATATCAAAATCTTTATGTGTAAAGAATCATTATCACATCCCTGCCCTTCATCTCTGCAGAGGTATGTGCCTCCAACCAAAGATCTCCAGAGTTCTCGTGCCATTTTCTCAACCTAACTTAAAGTGATGACCATTTTTGTAGTTTCTGCTTCAAGGTCTCATCGTTAGGTGTTTCTTGGTTGAACTCTTTTGTGTTTTCCTTGAGGGTTCCACCTCATAGCTGCCTGGTGATATTAGTTTGCAGTCTGCCCTACCCAACTCCATATTCTTTAAAGTTTTCCTGTCATTTCTCATAGATAAATGTGTAAAGTATGAATCTACATTTTACCACTTAATTGCAAAAATAAAGTAAGTAAAGTTTCTTTTTCAACCTGACGGTCACGTGTTTCAGTGACTTCGGTGTACAAAGGGATAGTGTGCCAGCCGCCTTTACTTTCTCTAGCAGGAGTTAGGTACCCATCAGAGCTGGATGGACTAGAGTACTGACTTGAACCCAGATTTGAACTTTGAGTTTTGGGTTAGCAGCCTAGCGCTATACTACTAATAAAAGAATTATAGATTTTTATGAGCAAATGACCAGAAACTTTTTAGAAAATGTCATTGTCAAAATCATAATTTTATTTTTTCTGTTTTTTTTGCATTTAATTTTAGGAAGCATTTGATAACTTGGTAACTAAGCTAGATGCTGCTAGATTAAAATGGGATGGACATTCTTCTTTAATACAAGCTAAAAACAAGCAAACATTATTGGAATTTGGATTGAATCCTCTGGAATTTTGAAGTTTTCTTTTTGCTTTACTAGTCTTTTTAAAATGAAATAAAAATGTTTTAAAATAATTACGTTGGTATTTTATTTGAGAAGCTAATATAAGGAAGAACAACTAAGAACAAACTTGTCTGTTGTATGTGAATCTCATTGCTTGTAGGATGAGTTGTAAATAATAAAATCTTTATGTTTTACCATATTGATTTTGTGCCATTGTTATTGACTGTTATTAAACTCAAGCTGAACATCTTATATACACTCTCATTCAATGTACTAAACGGAAATCTTACTCATAATTTCATTCAAGATTTTTCTCAGAAAAATACAGACTCATTCAACCTACAAAACAAAAAAAAAACTCAATTTAATTCAAGATTTTATTGTCTTCAAGTACTTTAAAAATTTTCATCTCCTGGACAAACAATGAAGATAATTTTTTTTACTAACAAAACACAATACATTGCTTAATTTATCAGGCATTATTTATAAGTATATATATAAATATATTGTCAATACAATTCTAATTTGCAGAATTAAGCAACAATTATAAAAACCTGGCATTCATACGCAAATATAAATTGAAATCAATTTTGAAGTTAATATACAATAAACTAAAACAAAAAATTATTTTAAAAATTGTGAGCAAAATACAGTGAAAGCAAAAATAAAAATGGAATTAAAAGCACTGGTTTTTGTTTTTAAAATTGTTTCCTAGTCATTTGCTGGAATGATTAACCATTGCAAAAGGAGTAAAAATGGTTTGATCTTGAAGACTTGGTCCAAAATTTTAAAATGTAAAAATACTGACACATGTTATTAGAAATCTCATTAACTATTTCAAATTAATTTTATTTTTCATGCTTGCTGAAAAATGCTGGTGGAATAACAAATATGATGCATTTAAATATGCCAAGTTACTTCTTTTAGGAATAAAATAGCCATGTATTTAGTATTTTACATCAAGTAGAACTCTGTTATTTAATTACCTTTAAATAAGAAGATAATACCCACAGTTTAATGCTTACATTTCCCCTGTAATGATAACAAATGATCATGAACATAGTTAAGATTGATGAAACCATTTAAAATGAGGAACACTTGATCTCAGTTTTATATTATGATTTTCATTTCAGCTTTCTAACACATGGTTACTTACTTAACCTCACATGTTTGTTTTTTCTATATTAACGTTAGTAGAAGACTTGTTTGGCAAATACAAATCAAGGCAAATAAGCATCAATGCATTATTAATATGTAAGGAGCATGTACAAAATTTGAGCAAAATGAATAGGATAAAATATAAATAAAATGTTAAAATAAAAAGTTGTCTTTTAATTTATGAGTCTCATTTAATAGGCAGAGTGTGGGTAAGTCTATTTTAGACATTAAATACACTACAATCATTTAATGAAAACAAAATTTAAATCAGGCATTATCAAACCTAATTTTTTACCATCAGCAAAATTGAAACCAATAAACTTTAAGAACATACTCAAATAAAAGCCAGACATCTTTTGCTTAGAAATGGCTCTACACAATGGATTAATTCAAAAGGTTGAAAACCAAATATATTTTTAAACGTTCTTGATCTTACTCTTAGCTTTCCAACAACATAGCATTTAACTAAATATCAGGAAGTAAGACAAAGGAATTTGAAAAAAAAAAATTAGCAAGCCAATGCCCTTTTATAAATCATTAACAATTTAAAAAATCTTTTCTAAGGATAAATATAAGCAGGTTGATTCCCAAATGAGTAAAAAAAAATGCAAAAGTTAACAGCGCCTTATGTTAATTAAAATGTTGGAAGCCTCCCAAAAACCAAGACCAAGTCACAATTATTTTAGCAAAAATGAAAGACCAAAACATTTAAATAAATTAGAGCATTACACATGTGCAAGTAATTAGCATACTCAATTTTGATTAAATTCTCAGCATTTTCACATGCAATTTTAAATTTAAAACTTAACTGAAATTTGGCAGTTAATAAAATCTAGACCAGGGTTTCCTATTTGGTGCAATTGGTTCTCCCATTAACTGAATGCAAATATAAATGTAACTATTTAGGTCATATCCTAAGAACAACCAAGTTTTTAAAAATTCAAATTCCAAGATAATGTTACATAACATTTTGTTTTTGTATTAGATTGTTTTAAATTAGACCTAAGATTGAAATATCACTAGAGCTGGTTTTTTCTTGATTGGTCAATATATCTTAAGTTCCTAAAAATGTCGTAAGTACAACCGACATAGCACACATACGTAAGTTTTATTGTATTGCTATTGCCGTAAGAAGGCTTGCTTCCACCCCTCTACACACTACGATTGTGTAACTAACAATGCCGGACAAACTGGGTGATAAATAAACCACTTCAGTCTTAAGATTATCATGGTGAGCACTGTTGTAGTTCTGACAAAGTTACAGTATTTCTTGTTCTTTGATGGCACATATCTAACATCTAAGCACCTGGACATGACTGCACCAAAATGAAAATATTTTAGGAAACCACCACTCTAGATTTTAATTAAACCGCTTTAGAAACTGTAATTAAATTGACATCTTTTTTAAATATAAAAAAAAATGGAACAAAAAAAATACCCTGATAAAAACTGTAAAATTTCTAGACTAACCCTGATTAAATTAGAGTAAAGTGTGTTAATTTCTAAATCAACTCTACTATGCCAAAGCAGTTATACTATTAATTGTAGTGAATACATTGTATAAACAATTCTAATACCTTGATATTATCTACCCACAAATCATTTTAAGGCAATGAGAGAAACCATGAACTACTAGCCCTAATTTCAAAAATATATTGTGGCATATAGTAGCATAGATGGGGGGGGGGGGGGGGGGGGGGAAGAAAGTCAGACCCCCCCCCCCCCCCCCCCCCCCCGCAATCACCTAAATAACACTGATCTCATGTTAAGTCTCAGCTTAAGGAGATATGGCTCACATGCAGCTTTCAATGCCAATAGTTTCAAAATTGTGTGTAATAAAACAAGTTTTTACATTCTCAAAATCAATATGGAATATGTATATATGTGAAAACAAAATTTTAAACACCCCCCTTCCATAACAAAAAAAAAAGAAAACAATGAAAAGAGAATCTGACAGTCACACAATCAGAAATAATTTGGTACTGACAAACCAATTGGTGGAACAGCCAGCATACAAATGCTATGGCAAAATGATAACAAAAAAGCGTCTAACAAGTTTTTTTTTTTTAAATCACAACTTCTTTACATTTAAAAATGAACAATAGCGTAGCTTGTTGACACAAAATAAAGATGATGAAGTTTTAAAAAATAAAAATATTTTATAAATATGCACCTCTTTTAACAAATTTTTGTCCGGTATTAATTTATTTTAAGTTAACAGTACGGCAGAGCCAAGCAATTAAATGTACATTTTAAAAAATTTGAATCTGTGTTTAAAAATTTCGTGGAGAAAATTAATAATTATTTGTTAATAAAAATAAATAAACCAGTAAAATTATCTTGACCACATGAAAAAGGAAGCAGAACATAATCTAGACTCAGTAATTAAGTAAAAATAACTACAAGATTCAAGGTTTAAAACTAATAGCAACTTTTTTTTTTGAAAAACAAAATTGTATTGCAATTTGCTGCACTCTTCTTGCATAAAGATATGTTAGTTTCTCATCCTTCACAACCAAACTCTCCAACACATATTTCACATTTGTATCATCAAATCTTTTATGGTATTGTATTTACATTTTACACAAACCAACATTATAAAGTAAAATTTTTTAAAAGAAATGCTGAATACACCATCACTACAATCAGGCACAAAAAGATAATTTATGTAACAATAAAAATAAATGTTGGGGGGGGGGGGGGGGGGGGGGTTGGGGGGGGGGGGAAACTGACCTATGACCATATATGCAGAATCTTATTTACAAAATCACTATTACCTGATGAATATGCATGCTATTACAGTTAAAATGAAATAATTTACTACATGGAAACTATTCGTTTAAGTCTTAATTTAAAGATACCTGATTTGGGACTAAACTTCTGGTTGTGTAATGGTACTTAGCATTAACTATTCATTAAATATTAAATGGTTAAATATAAGGTAAGCTCTTAAGGGTGTACACATTTGATATTCTGTTAAAAGATTGCACTTTGAATTATTTATAAATTTTTGACTTGTAATGCAAAAAACTGTACACTAAATTATGTAGATTGGGGTGTAAGGAATTTTTAATTGAATGTATTGTAGCTAAGGTTTAACTGACAACCCAACAATAAAGACACAAGATTTTTTTATATAAAAGTGTGATCAAATGCATTTAGCCTCAGATATATGTCCTTTCTTTGGCAAGTTTTACATAAAATATTACAAGATAAAAAAATTATTTTAACCGCAAAGAAAGGATTTAACACATTTTGCACAAAACATTTGTGGTTATTTATGCTTTTTACTACAAACCAAGTATGAATAGCAGAACCACCAATGTTGATGCTGTAAGTTTTACCAAACTCATAATCAAATTGTTAACAGAAAAAAAAACACAGTGATCTTCATGTACATTATAGGATAGGGCCAGTTTAGAGTTTGTTAAATTTTACATCCTCAGAGTATGGGTCAAACTGAATTACTTGTATGCAACCACAAGGTGTGGATCCACTTTATTAAAGTTTTTTTTAAACAAAACTGTATGAACCATATTTAAACTGTAGCCTATTATCAGATATCCATTTTTAGTAAAACTACAGCTCACTTGAGCTTCAAAACATGTAAACTTTGTACTTTTGAACATTAAAAACTAAGATAAACTAAAAGTGAGCCAGGACTGGTATGGTAATTTACAACCTATTTTTAATACGAAGAGGCACTTTTTTACAGGAATTCAAATCTAAATATAATAGCAGTTAATCTTGTATGTATTTCTAGCATGATGTACCTAATGAGCATTTTTCTAATAAACATTTATATACCACTTGCAAAATGTTGCGCTATAATTAATAAAATTTTAATGTCAATTATTTATGGAATGAAATGTAAAAAAATCTATAACTAAAAACAGCTATTTGTCTAAAAAAAAGTTTACTTTAACAGTCTTAGATAAATAATTGTAGAAACTTCACTACTCATCTAAAATGTCTGAAAAGATTATTTAATGCGGGTTTAAAACAGGAAATTGTTAATAACTTTAATATCTAACAACGTTACCCTGCTGATTTCTACAAAGGTAACCTTTTCAAGTTTGATACTAAATTATTTAAAATGACAGGTATTAGTCAAAGGTAAGGAAGAGTAAAGGGGTGTATTTGTATCTTAGAAAAAACTAGCTATAAGCTGAAATGTTTTGGTGTACAAGTAATAAACATACCAAAACAGACAATTTTGAAAATGTATATATAGGCCCTATGTATCTGATCTAGAGAAAATATAAATAGTTAGAACCTACATCATAAAACATCCCTCAGCCATGAGCAAACCAAAATTTGAAAGAGAACATAAACAACTAATCTTTATGTACAAGGAGATAATACTTATTTAAAACAAAAACATTCAAATAAAATAAAAATCACAGAGTATCCTGTTCTAACACAATCTCTTTTTATAAAATTAAGATTAAAAAATGTATGAAAAAATAATTTTACTCAAGAAAATGAAACCAAGGATCTTACTACTCATATCACCATAATATATGAAACATTAAGTCAAAACGACATTGCAAAAATATCTTTTTGGAAATGGAATGATTATCCCATTAAAGAGGAGGGTGAATTCCTTTTTCCTTTAAAATTGTCTGGAATGAATATAACTATTCTGTAAATATGGTAACACATAAATATAAAGGAAAAAACATTAGTTCAACAAAAACTGGCAATTTAAACAGAACATTAAAAATATCACAAACAAAATTTGAGATCAACACCATAGTGAATCCCCCATCAAATCTATCTGCATTGTGAAGCCTAATGAATGTTTAGTGTCAGTTGATTAATTAAACAGTGAAGGTGGCAGATTTTTAATAAACATATGTATATATATATATATATATATATATATATATATATATATATATATATATATATATATATATATATATATATATATATATATATTTATATATATATATAATGTTTATACATTAAGTTTGAAATAACCACTTAAATTTATGTTTTTTCAACTGACATCAGACATTAACACATTTTTAAAAAACAAACATGTCACAGTTTAAAATAAATTGAACTCAAGCTTAAAGTTGCACTGTCATGTTTTCAGCTTGTTTTTGTAACTTGGACGAGATCCATTGGCCACTTTGATATTCAACCCATTGGAAGCTTTCTTATTGCTCAAGAACAGAGTCTCTTCATCGCTAGAGAGGTCAGACTCTGAGATCATAACACTACTGTTTTGGATCTTACCTGTAAGATAAAAGTTTAGAAGATTTTAGCAAGCTTATACATTAATACAAAAAGTTTCCCAATCTAACATGGTAGTCCATGGGGCAGGTGTGACATCAGGATAAGGCATTATGCCCAACTGCCCTTACTTTCACTAGCGAGTGCCAGGTACCCATTAGAACTGGATGAGCTCAGGGATTTTCTGCAGACTCGAGACAGTGTTTCAAACTTGAGGCTTAACAACACGACACGATACAAACAAAAATAGTTTAAAACCATTTTTAAACAAGTTACAACAAGTTCCTGATACAAACTGCTACAACAAGGTTTTTCCGAAACATGAAATCAAGTTCCCCCATATCTGTTAGCTCAGTATAATTATGAAGGAATTATGTGGTCAGCATAATGTCAAGCAACCCTTACTTTCCTAGATTTGAGTAAGGTATCTGTCAAGCTAAAGGGACTCAGGCATATCCTACAAACTTGAGACAGGGAAGGAATCCCAGACTATCAGATAGGCACTTTTGTGCTCTACCTCTTTACCATGCTGTTTACTTAAATTACATAAACTATGACAAATATTTATAATGTAAACACACCAAACTTAAAGGTTAATGGAGGTGTACTCACCATTTTTTCCTTTACTATGCATTTCTATTTTATCTTTATCACTGTCATCTGCATCTCTCAGTAGAGAATACCTATGTCGTCTGCGAGCTTTAAGAGTTAATTTGCATCTGAAATTATCATCAAATTATAAAATAAATTATATTGGATACTGATAGCTAAGCTGTACTTGTGCATATTGTATGTCTTGATAGCTCTATACAAAACCACAATTATTTTTTCTGGGAAGAAGGAATGTGGGACCACAATAACGATGTATCCTGATGGAGGAATGTGGGACCACAATAACGATGTATCCTGACGGAGGAATGTGGGACCACAATAACGATTTATCCTGACGGAGGAATGTGGGACCACAATAACAATGTACCCTGATGGAGGAATGTGGGACCACAATAACAATGTACCCTGACGTAGGAATGTGGGACCACAATAACAATGTATCCTGACTGTCTCTAATGCAGGATGAGGTAAAAGGTAAATCTTTTCCTTCCCTAAAGGCATAGATTGATAAGAGTATTCAGTCCCAGCTGCCCTTCCCAGACTACTTTCATTCTGGATTCTGCCCCAAAGATTAAGTTGCACGACAAGCTTCATGGTTCCTGGCCAGCCATTTAGCATTCTCAAGCACATTTTAAAATATGGGGAGGGTGTACACATACACATGTATGCACACACACAGGTATGAAAGCACACTCACACACACATGCATACACATACACACACATGCACACATACAACAGGTAGAAAAAAAAGGGTCCAACTTACTGTTTAGACGTGCAGCAGCAAATGATAGCCCATATGGAGCTGATGATGGCAACAAGGATGATGAAACAGATGATGACAACATACAAGACACTCCAATCTGCAGACATGAGAAGACAGTCAATAAACAGTCCTGAATACAACTCACTGGCTAACTCTCTAGAATACACAACTAACTGGGAGTATTCATTGGCTAACCCTCTTGAATACACAACTAACTGGGAGTATTCATTGGCTAACCCTCTTGAATACACAACTAACTGGGAGTATTCATTGGCTAACCCTCTTGAATACACAACTAACTGGGAGTATTCATTGGCTAACCCTCTTGAATACACAACTAACTGGGAGTATTCACTGGCTAACCCTCTTGAATACACAACTAACTGGGAGTATTCATTGGCTAACCCTCTTGAATACACAGCTAACTGGGAGTATTCACTGGCTAACCCTCTTGAATACACAACTAACTGGGAGTATTCATTGGCTAACCCTCTTGAATACACAACTAACTGGGAGTATTCACTGGCTAACCCTCTTGAATACACAACTAACTGGGAAAAAAATATATTTAGCATTTATATGACTTATAAATCTGGTGTAAAATGCAAACAGTAAATGTAATTGTATTGGCTGTTTATACCTGTACACACATTCAATAGCAAATTGTAGGTTTTCTTTCATTTTTATAAGTTAGTTAGGGTAACAGTGAGTACGCCTATGTATACCACAAATGCAATTTACTTAAACATTTTGATAAGAAAAGATTTTAATTTCGTTTTTTTTTTAATTAATAAAATTTACTATTACAACATACATGTAGCTTAATTACAATTACACATTTTAAGCTTAACAACCATCAATAAACTAATGCAGCATAACACTATTCTTCACTTCTTTCTTCTCTCCCTTATAATCAGTTAAAAAAAGACTAGAGTGACTAATAAAGGGCAAAAGGCTAGGCCTACCTGCTTTTCTTCTTTTTACCATTTCTTTCTTTAAAGGCTAACTTGGTTCTATTTAATGTATTTACCTAATAGTTTTATTCTATTTTGATTGGCATATTTAAAAAAATATAATATTTTATTAAAAAGGGAAGAAAACCCATTGTAAAACTAGCTGAAGCAGGGGTGGACTGGCTGAGTCTAATAGCCCCGGGGAAACTTTAAAAGGGGACCCCCAACCCCTGATTAAAATTTTGATGGTGTTTTTTTTTCCCACATCAAAGCCTGATGATGATCCTTAGCTTGATGGAAGTTCAGGTGACAAATTTAAATAAAAAAGGAACCAATAAGCATAGTACAATTAGTACAATACTGTTCCTGGGAGCCCACCACGATTTTTTAAAAATATTACCTAGGGGGCCCACCAGGATTTTTTTTAGGGTCGTCCGGTGGGCCATTCCACCCCTGAGATGAAGCATTGAATGAAAGATAACTCTTACCACAGTTGCTCTCAGTGCTGAACATGGAGGCTGTGAAGAAGTTTGGCATCCAGAAGGCCTCACACACACAAAGTTTGGTTTTCTGATCACAGCGCCCATGCCCAGAACAATTATTCTGACACACTAAAGGGAGGTAATCAACATTTAAAGATTATGTGGTTAAATACGTTAAACCTACTCACACATCAAATACAACAACTAAATCTAAGAAATGTTATAAAGAAAAAATACAATTGAACTTAGCAAGTATCATTTTTCTTTGTAACTATACTTTAATAGATACTTTTTTGGTAAAATCTAAGTAACATATTAATGATGAAATAGCCATATGAATTTAAAAAAATTTTTTCTTAAGAACTAATAACAGATTTTAATAATTTTTGTACAGTGAAATTTCCTATTGAGTTTATACCCTTCTGTTATGATTTAAATCAGATGCTTTTCAGCCCACTTTAAAAAGGACATGGAAGAAAGCACTGTGACAGAAAAAGCAATAATAGACTGAGTGTATTATTTAAATGACTTAATAAAACAAATGTAAAGACAGAACAGTAGATCCAGATGGAATTGAAGGCAAACAATTCCAAACAATAAGCTATACATTTTTAAGCCTCCTTACCAGAGAGGTCCAATCTAACTATGCTGTAGTCCAGAATTTTCCCTGAGCTGATCTTGTTTTTCAGTGTTCGCAGAGCATGAACCCCATTCATGATGGTGGGGGAATCCTTTTCATTGTGGAGGACTTGAAAAGTAAGGCAGAGGCTGCAACAAGCAAGGGAATGAACATTTATTTTACAGGGGCAACTCACTCACCTATAACTATTCATTGTGTCTTAGTTATTTAAGGATTTAACACAATTAAAAACATGGAATAATTGTACATAAACTAAAGAAACGGAACAATATTTGAAATATGCTGTTTCATCAAGTTGTTTCACTAAGATTTGCCATTATTAAGGTTACTAGCTACAGGTGTATGGTACATTGGCACTAAAAATATGAAGTTATATAGTGTGAGGGTTTAAATAGTTATTAAATGCACAATAATTTCAGTAAAATCAATAGTATATAATAAGCTTAAATATAATGTATCTTCCACAGAACAGTTCTTGAAAAAGAGCCTACTTAATACTAGAATTTTGCACACTTCAGCTGGTATTAAGTCTTTGACAGTTTGTTAGTGATTGTTTACCTAGGGTAGTGGTTTCTTAAGAAATTTTCAAGATAGAAATTAGAGGACAAAGTCTAGGCAAGTATGATAAACATGATGACTTACTGTCCAGTGCTGATGTCTTCATCAACAGATATAAACTCAACAGTTGTGGCTCTATCTTCTGAAGATTTCTGCAGCAAAAGCACAAGCTGATCTTGTAAACTTTCCTAAAACAACACAATTTTTAAACACAATTTTAAAAGGGTCATTTTTTAAAATTGACATTTTTGTTTATGATAAATTATGTGAATTGTACAATCAAGGAATACAGGTTGTTGAGTTATCACACGCAGAATATTTTGAATTATCCAATGCTTAGTGTCTCTACTCACATATGGAAACCAATTTTTAAAACAATTTTTAGCGCAATTTCCATTCTGGAGAATTGCGTTTATTAACCCGTCATTTCTGGATGTATGAATGGATGTGTGTCCGCAGCTTTAAGTCGTATCTCCTCCTCAACGAAGCAATATCGATGACTAGTTCCAAAAGCAATTATGTTAAGCACGTTACGAGGATGAGCATAGGCTATAAAAATTCCGGGTTTCTTTCATGGATTTCCCGGAAAAGCCAAAAAACCTCGAAAAAATGCAGTTTTTGGCCTATATCTCGGCAACCAGACCACTTAGCGACTTCAAACATGTACCAATCGATTCCTGCCATAATTTAGAACAATATTGCCGAAGTCAGTTTTCAAAAATATCCTTTCGTTCGGTCCCAAAAAATTTTTGAATTAATTAAAATTTGGACCGAATTAGTAGGCATGTTTATCCAACCACACCACACGCGTCATCACATTCAATAGCTGCGCCATCACGTTCAATGGCTGCGCCATCACGTTCGGTAGCTAGGCGCGCAATGGTTTTTAGTCATGTAACTCTATTGTAAATAAAACATGTAAAATACTGAAAAAAAATTAATAAAAAACGTTTTAATAACTAACCAATGGTTTTACTAACCCTGCTCTTGATTTACGCTACGACAGAGCTATTTTTAGATAACATAAGGAAATTGCACTTAAATGTCACTAGACATTTTAATTAACTTGTTTAAAATTACATAGCATGTCAAGGAATAATTAACATGTGTGCCGAGACCAAGAATTTAAAGTAACATTTTTATTGATTTATCAAAGCATTTAACAATCAACTATAAAACTTAAAAATGTTAACAAATTTAGCAATTTAACTAATATTTTAAAGTTATAATTCAATTTGATAACATTAATAGGAAAAATTGTTATGCGAGAGTAGAGCAAGAAAAACTAAAATTAAAAAAAGCTTTACCTTATTAGCCACAGTAAAATGATCAATATCAGCATCTAAGATCATCTCAACAATATCTTTCTGATGTGCATCTGATTAATAAAAATACAAGGGGAAGTGCTCTATATAAACTGAAATTTGTTGCTTTCTGATTAAGTTTTTGTAACCAGAAATAATGTAAAAATGGTTTTTAGAGCAAAGACAACAACAAATAAATTTAAAAAAAATAGACATCAAGAAAATTGTAGTATTTATCAAATAGAGTAAATGAGTGACTTACTGTTGTTAAAAAATTTAAAAGAAACATTAAGAAAGACATAGTGTTTATCATGTAGAGTAGCAAAAATGACTTACTGTTGTTAACTATAACCGTGGCACTGTCACTACTTTGCAGACCCTCGGCATCTTCAACTGTTAGTGTAAACTGGTACTGTCCAGCCACTAAGTTGACCAGCTGGAGTACAGCCTTGTGGTCAGAGTTGTTGACAACAGTCTGTGGGAGGAAGTGATAGGTTGGGCACTGGTATGGTACAGTGGTCACTGGTACAATACAGTGGGCATTGGTACAATACAGTGGGCACTGGTACAATACAGTGGTCAGTTGTTCAATATATAGGACACTGGTACAATACAGTGGTCAGTTGTACAATACAGTGGGCACTGGTACAATACAGTGGGCACTGGTACAATACAGTGGGCACTGGTACAATACAGTGGTCAGTTGTACAATACAGTGGTCAGTTGTACAATACAGTGGTCACTGGTACAATACAGTGGTCACTGGTACAATACAGTGGTCACTAGTACAATAGAGTGGTCAGTGGTACAATACAGTGGTCAGTTGTACAATACAGTGGTCAGTTGTACAATACAGTGGTCACTGGTACAATACAGTGGTCAATGATACAATACAGTGGTCAGTTGTACAATACAGTGGTCAGTTGTACAATACAGTGGTCACTGGTACAATACAGTGGTCACTGGTACAATACAGTGGTCACTGGTACAATACAGTGGTCAGTTGTACAATACAGTGGTCACTGGTACAATACAGTGGTCACTGGTACAATACAGTGGTCAGTTGTACAATACAGTGGTCAGTTGTACAATACAGTGGTCAGTTGTACAATACAGTGGTCACTGGTACAATACAGTGGTCAGTTGTACAATACAGTGGTCAGTTGTACAATACAGTGGTCAGTTGTACAATACAGTGGTCAGTTGTACAATACAGTGGGCACTGGTACAATACAGTGGTCACTGGTACAATACAGTGGTCAGTTGTACAATATAGTGGGCACTGGTACAATACAGTGGTCACTGGTACAATACAGTGGACATGTGTAAAATACAATGGTCACTTTCACAATACAGCAGTCAATTGTAATAATACAGTGGTCACTGGTACAATATGGCTGTCACTCGTACAATAAATTGGTCACTTTCCGAAACCATGGTCATGTAAACAATACAGTGGTAACTGTACAATGTGTTGGTTATGTCACTCATAAATACGTTAATAGTGTCATTTTATCAAAATTCATTGGAAAAAGTCAGTTTCGGTGAAAACAAACAGTTTCCTTTACACCCTTAATCAAATTTTCTTAACAATTAAATGAAGAATGTAATAAAACGTATTATCAACAAAAACTTCGTAGTAAAAAAACACTAAATTCCTCTCTGAACTAAAAACTAAACTAACCCCCGCAGCCAAACTTTTGCTGTCCCTCTTCCAGGTAAACTTAGCAATGCCATGATCATCAGAAGATTTAGATCCATCTAGAGTCACCAGACCAACAGGCAACTGCACCACTTTGTTGCCACCTGCATCTGCTTTTGGCTGAAGGTTCACATCTAAAAAGTTAGTTTGGAAAAAAAAAATAGATTCAGTTCTTAACACAAAAAAAAGTTTCAAATTGATTATTATTAACATACAACAGCAGAATTAAAGAAGAAGATGAAATTTAAAGAAGAACATAGAATATAGTAAAACAATACCAAAAAACAAAAAATCACATTCTAGATGCTGCAGCAGAATATTATATACCAATACACACTAATTTTTGACAGAACAAACAAGAAGTAAAAAGTAATAAACCGGGAGTGATCTCCCCTAAACTTTCTCGAATATTCTTATATAAAATAACAGGGGATGGGAACTCGGGCTATAGAAATGATTTTTAATCCATTTTAAATACTTAAAGTTTTAAAAATAGAATAAAATCTCGTAGACAAATTAATTGCACACCAAGTGAACGCTAAATAAAAAACGCATAATAGTGCGCAATATTATTAGTACTTTTAAAATTTACATTAGTTTTTTGAGAAATCGGAAGTAGCGTAAAGTACTACTTCCAGTCAACGTAAATTACTCAAAATTTTACAGAAGGTAGATAATTAGATCTTTTACTTACATGTGAAATATCATTTATCTATCTGAAATAGTACTCAAGTTATAGGCTTTTGAAAAATTCAAAGTAGAAAAAGTACCACTTCCAGTTGTCGGAAATCGCTCAAAAGTTGATACGGATCTACGATTTTGATATAATACTTATATATGAAATTTCATCAACCTAGCTGTAAGGGTACTCAAGTAATCGTGTTTACACACGGACAGACACACACACACACACACAGACATACGGACAAGATTGCAAAATTATGTTTTTCCGTATCAGTGAGGTGTAAAACGTCGAGATTTGTAAAAACCTCGATTTTTTTTTTTGCACGATTACAATACTTTCTCTATACTTCGTATATACGAGAAAGTAAAAAAAGAATAGCTTTACTTAGAATTTTAAAGCAACCGCCATTAATTAAAATGCTTTTTTTTCACATTTTATTTTTAAAAAATGAGTGAGTTAACCTTTCTTGAGTGAGATAATGAGAGTGTCAGTGGCCTTCTGTAACTCTCCATCTGTCACTGTAAGCTCAAACTCATAATCTCCTTCAGTTATTGCCCCTGTTGCTATGGCTACTATTTTATCTGCATTGCTTATTAACAGTGTATTGGGTCCCCTGAAAATGAAAAAAAAAATCAAAATTAAAAATAACTGACATAATTTTCTAACAAGCCATGTTTTATTGACAATTCAAAATTATTTTTGTCTATTAGAACACAACAATAATAATAATGGACATGAGTGGAGTGTTAGCTAAAATAGATTTGATATCTAACATCAGCTGGAATTAATAAGTTCAGTAAATATTAGAGTTTAAAAAAAAAGTAGATTTTGAAAAAATAGGTGAAATAAACAACAGAACATGTAAAGTGCAAAATAGATTTAAAAATTGAATAATTAATTAGAATACTTGAATAAGTTTACAATATTTAAAATTTTTATCAGCAGAAGATTTGCCACACAAGGGAAGCAATTTTTAAAAAAGGCTGAACAAACTATTCATGTGCAGTGGAAGAAAATGTTGCCTCCCATCATGGCAATTTTTTTTATGTACATTTACAAACAAACTACATGATCTACTTTTTAATCAATCTTTTAAATAAAAAATAATGTATTACAATAAGTAGAAAATACCCTAGAGATAGCAAGTTACAAACATACAAATCAATATGGTTTCACAGCAATGTATCATGCTTTTGAGAGACAACTTTCTGTATTAAAGTTGCCATGTATTAAGTGCTCACATCTAAATACCTTACCAGGTATACTTAGTTTTCAAAGATTCCCAACTGCAAAATCTTACATAAACCAAAGCTAATATCTATGCTCGGTTAGATTAATATTTAATATATTAGCCTATTAGCATGAAAATTAAGAAGCGCATACACGCAGCTATTAAATATTTCAATGACAAAATCAGTAAATATTCATATAAATAAATTTGAAAGTAGAAGTGTGCTTAAAAATGGTAAGTGTTTATTGTTAATATCAATGAAGACAATAAAGTTAACATAAAAGTACATGTTTAGAAGGAAGGGGGTAAAAAAAAATTAAAAATATATATTACAATTTACAGCAATAATTATACATGAATAAAAACATTTTGCAAGTATATAAAGGAAATTTAAAAATAATCAAGCATGAATAAATTATGTTTTTGACACTTATTTTTGTACACTTTTTCTCCCTCTTTGGCAAACTGATTGCTGTTAACCTATACCCTTTAGGTTTTCCCCTTTTAGCTACTTTTGATGTAGGTTAAATTTCACCGAGATACCCTACTCCTAAACTCACTGGATGGCTAGCTATTGGATCCGTATCTAAAATACCAACTGAATGATCAACTATAGGTTCAGCACCTACACCTATCGCATCTTCCAATAGCTGCTCTTCATGTACAATACCTAATGCATGCCCAACACTATCAGTGCCTCGTACAACAGTTTTTCCATTGCTAACAAATGTCTACATGGCAAATTCATAGTTTGAAAAAATGTACTATTACAAGTATTCTCCTTAACACTAACAGAAAAAAAATCTACCATATTTCATCAGTGTGAAATCCTAGAATCAGTGATGTCAAGTTGCAATCTTTTGTTGTATTTTACTGTGACTAATTTTAAAGGTGTGATGCTATCTTGTAAGTGTGAAAGTGGAGACAAATACTTTTTAGTGTGAGCTTTGAATTGTTTATGTATGGTCTCTGTCAACTTGCAATCAATAAAAAAAAAGAACTTTGCAAATGTATGTATATAAATCTGTAGGGTGAGCGATAATCGATTTCAATTTCTGGTGGTAAGATTCTGTTTGTCCTGTTTTTTGCGTCTCCAAAATTTAAATGTTCTGCTCTCTTGAAAAGCACCCACTTCTCCCACAGGTGATCCCATTACCTAAAAAATATTCAGCAAACTCATCATCTTCTTCTTCTTCTTCGTTCTTAATTTTTAGTGTTGGAAAGGATCGAGCTTATCTGCCAGAGGGTTTGAACTCGAGACTTTTTTTTCAAATTTATCAACCATGAGCTTTTGCCGACTCGACCATGCTTCCATCACAATTAAGGATACGTATCAACTGGTTATGCACCATTGAGGCCATTGACTCCGATTTCAGCCTGCTTTTCTTTTTGGATTTGCTTCCATAGCCTTTGTCCAACTAAGAACAAACTACAAGGCAGCAGTTGTTTGATTTTGGAGTTGTCTCTCCTAGAAGAGTGGCTGTCCCCAGCTAACGAGCCTCATCTGCCCGAGGGTTCAAATTCGAGACTTTTCGGTTTAGCATTTGTGAGCTTTTTACCGATTCGACCACGCCGACCCCCACTCATCATCTAAGATCAGTATTTGCTGCTTTAGGCTATCTCAAGGTACCTGGTCTTTGGCAAATTGCATCTAGCAACACAAAACAACTATGTCGGTGCTACACCTTAGTTCTGAAAAATGTTTTTAAGGCTTTCTTGACAAAGAACTAAGTTCACAAATTATTTTGGAAAAACACTTTCCAGGCTAGCCATCTCAGATAGGTCTTTATCTACCACTAAAGTCTTGATGTTCACTGATTAAAAAAAAGTCAAGATTGCTCTTTAGACCTAGTGATCCATTGGGCAGATGAAGTAGAGTTCATGACCTCGGCATATGGAGGGATGTTATCAGCACTGTGCCCAGTGCTTTAACTTTCCATAACTTGAGTTAGCTACCCATCAGAGCTGGGTGGACTCAGGGGCACTTAGCTGACTTGAACCAAGGTTCGAACTTGATACTTTCATATGATACAACATAGGCTGAAAGTTTGAGTCACAATACAACCTTGCAGGCAGCAAAGAAATCATCCAAAGAGATAAATACTTGATTCACAACGAATTCCATTGAACAGCGTAGAATGGAACTGCCAAAGCGGGCAGATAACAGGTCTATTGTAATAAATACACAAGGTACTGAGCCCATTATCACGCAGATTTTATACATTGTGCATGGCCATTGTGCATGTGCAGCTACGCATGGTCATTGCGGGTGCGCGGAAGTATGTTTTGCGCAGCTGTATACATATTTGCTCCACCTAGCCTAGGGCCTTGGGAAGGCTTGGCAAGTACAGTTTGCTCCAAGTAGTGATGGTAAAAAAAATAATAAAAACAAACCCTTTTTGGCTCCATGAGAAAGCCATTTTGCCAGAGTCATCAGAACTGTTGGAGCCATCTAGTGTCAAACTTTCTAGGGGCAAATACAGCTGTAGGTGTCCTGCTGTTTTGGCTACAGGCGGGTGGTTGGACTCTGTGAGGAGATAAACATTAAGATTATATTAATCTGTGTTTATATTTTAAGCTTTATAGCATTGGGATAAAAATAAAGTGTAGAGGTAAATCATGTGATTGTTAAATTTATAGAACCTGCACACATAAGAGTAGATAAAGACAAGCTAATTACTGTACTGTGTTGACTATACAATCTCATCTAGTACAAGAAGGGGAAGTAAATACTAGCAACCCAGCAAGTTACTGTTCTTGACAATCACTTCATTTAACAGAAGGGGAAGTAACTTACTTTTCTTACCCTTCTATTTTATTGTTTATAATAAAGGGAAGTAAATACTAGCAAGTTAGAGTATTTGTCTTATTTTATTTACCCAAAGGGAAAGTAAACATAGAAAATCATTGTTCTTGCCATATTATCTCTATAGCTACATGATGGGAAATAAATACTTTCAAGTTACTCTGCTTGCCTTACATTATTATGTAAAGGGAAGGTAAATACTAGAAAGTTATTTTTCTAGCTATACATCTCTTATGAGGGGAAGTAAATGCTAAATGCTAACAACTTCATTTTGATACAATGTCTAACCGGTATATAATTTTTGGAAAGAAAATAAGTTTATGTATATAAAATAACTTGATTGATGTTGCTGCTCTGATAATTTACATCCCCTATACTAATAAGTTTTAACTTTAAAAATATGACAACTATCTACAAATCAATTAGAAACTGGAATACAAATGACAGTTTCAGAACAAACACCTACTTGTACATTTGTACATACCAGGTTTGACAAAGACATGGACATCAGCTGTGTCTGTCTGCCCTGAGGAGTCTGTCACTTTCAGTGTAAACTTGTAGTCCCCAACCTCCAGATTACTCAGCTGTAAGATAGGGGACCTGACGCCCTAGAGAGACATACAAACTTATGGTCACTGGAAGTTTGAAATCAACTGTAAGATAGGGAACCTGACGCCCTAGAGAGACATACAAACTTATGGTCACTTTCAGTGTAAACTTGTAGTCCCCAACCTCCAAATTACTCAACTGTAGGATAGGGGACCTGACGCCCTAGAGAGACATACAAACTTATGGTCACTGGAAGTTTGAAATCAACTGTAAGATAGGGAACCTGACGCCCTAGAGAGACATACAAACGTATGGTTACTGTCTATGGAAGTTTGAAATCAATTGTAAGATAGGATACCTGACGCCCTAGAGAGACATACAAACTTATGGTCACTGTCTATGGAAGTTTGAAATCAACTGTAAGATAGGGAACCTGACGCCCTAGGGAAACATACAAACTTATGGTCACTGTCTATGGAAGTTTAAAATCAACTGTAAGATAGGGGACCTGACGCCCTAGAGAGACATACAAACTTATGGTTACTGTCTATGGAAGTTTGAAATCAATTGTAAGATAGGAGACCTGACGCCCTAGAGAGACATACAAACTTATGGTCACTGTCTATGGAAGTTTGAAATCAACTGTAAGATAGGGGACCTGACGCCCTGGGGAGACAAACTTATGGTTACTGTCTATGGAAGTTTGAAATCAATTGTAAGATAGGAGACCTGACGCCCTAGAGAGACATACAAACTTATGGTCACTGGAAGTTTGAAATCAACTGTAAGATAGGGAACCTGACGCCCTAGGGAAACATACAAACTTATAGTTACTGTCTATGGAAGTTTAAAATCAACTGTAAGATTGGGGACCTGACGCCCTAGAGAGACATACAAACTTATGGTTACTGTCTATGGAAGTTTGAAATCAACTGTAAGATAGGGAACCTGACGCCCTAGGGAAACATACAAACTTATGGTCACTGTCTATGGAAGTTTGAAATCAACCGTAAGATAGGAGACCTGACGCCCTAGAGAGACATACAAACTTATGGTCACTGTCTATGGAAGTTTGAAATCAACTGCTTGTTAACATTTTTTCTTGATTTAGTATTGCATAAGAATTAATTTTACAAATATATATATGTTCAGAGAGATAACAGTTGAATAAAGATTTAAAAAAAAGAAAATTTAAATCTAAATATAAGAAATTATGTTAGACTGGTTAATATGGTGGGGATTGACTTTCCTTCAATCCTATGGGATACATATGGGTTAAACATGAAGAAAACATGTCCTTTCACTCTGTTCATCCATACAATTACCCAAACTCTTTTTATCTTTTATATCATGAACGTGTTAGCAATGTTTTATAATAAATTGCAGCAATCATACAGGTATTGTTAAAATTAGCTCAAATACAACATTTTTGATGTGATAAAATAAACCCACAATTTTAGTCTTAAAATCAATATGGAAAATATTTACACACAGCCACCAAACATAAATATGATTGATATATATGTTTAAATACACCCCCTTTTCCCACCCTAATAAACAATTCGGCATAAACTACTGATTAAGGATGAAGCAAAACATTAAACAAAAGAGGGAATACACACCACCATCCCAGCAGTGAGCTTGTTTTCTGAGGTCCACTCATAGGTCAGCACCCCTTTGTCATCAGTGCTGGCATTGCCGTACAGGGTGAGGGAGTTTTGTGGGAGGTGGATGACCACATCAGACCCCACGTCTGCTTGTGGGGGGTAGTCTTTCTCTGTGGTCAAACAATTTAATCATAACAATCACATTTTTAAAAATAAATTAAATGGGAGATTCAGTATTTTTTATAGCTAGTACTACCATCCACACGTTTATGGTAACTATTACACATTCTTATTTTTTATCAAGTTACAATCTTTCAAATATCAACAGATGGAATGAGTCAGAGAGCAATGTAAACTATTGGTCTGTGTAAATTAATTAAATAATTCATTTATACAGTTAATAATAATTAACCCTTTGAGCCCGCCAAGCCGGTAAACCGGCTTCAACATTAGGCATATATGTCCGAAAAGCCGGTTTTCCGGCCCGATGATCTAGCGCCATATTCCTAGCGGCCGGTATACCGTCTAATTAAATATAATTAGCGGAAGACTGACTAAAACTGCGCATATATCTTTTGAGTACGGAATTATGATTTTAAAATTTGATTTTTTGGAAAAGTGAAAGTGTTTACATTTTGTAGCAATGCCGCCGAAACGAAAAGTTGAGCCACGGCCATAGACTTCAGCACAAAGTTGGTGCAAAAGATGAAGCAAAAGACCGAAATATCAACAAAAGAAGTAGAATGGCTGCATCTCAGGCAATACAACTACTTATTGATTCTGATGAAGAAGATAATATTCCTGGTCTTTATTGTGATGATACTGACGTTGAATTTAGGACTGAACACAGTGACATTGAAATTGACAGTGGCAATGAAACTGTTCAAGTACGTTCTGATGCACGTAGTGCCAAGGACAAAGACTTGCCGAAACTAAAAAAAAATGTTTACTGGTGCAAAACATGCAAAGTTTTTCTTTGCATCGGGTCCGGCAGTGATGACTGTTTTGAAAGTTATCACACAAAAGTGGACTTCTGGTGTTGAACTAGTATGGCCAGGTATCAATAATAATGAAACAATTACTAAATGTAAATTTGTTTCTTCTATGTTCTATCAAAACAATAATGATGTGTTCGTTTTATATACATTGTTCTGTTCAAACATTGTAAAAAAAATAAAGAATTTTAGAATCCTGCTGCATTGTTGTTTGATCCTGAGTCTGGATACCAAATTTGGCTTGATTATCTCAAACGGTTCAAAAGTTATAGGCAAAGTTAGAAGCAGATAAGTGAAAATTGGTTTGGGCCTGGGAGCTCAGGAAATGGGAGAAATTAGGCCAGGGAGGCCAGGGCTCAAAGGGTTAATAGTTTATTCTGTTTGTATTACCTTTTTTAATAATTACATTAGCCAAAGTAGAGTCTGTTGCCCCATCTGAGTCTGTCACTGTCAACCTTAAGGAGAGAAAAAATTGTTTTTTAGATGATGCAATTCTCAGTGGGTTTTTTCTTCTAATTTTATGTAAACAAATCTTATCATCTTGTTCATCTGTATGAATGAATTAAATATTTAAAAGAATAACTTTTATGTTATTGTTTTCTGTAATAAAATTTAGTCTTCCACAGGGTTTAGAACCAAAACAGACTTTTGGGTTCTCACACCAATTGAAAACACTACCTCCTGTGTCAACACACCAGTTCCCCATATCAACACACAAACTCACACCATATAAACACCCCAGACTTACTTAAACGTGTAGTTCTCAGGTACCATATCCACCCACCCCCCATGTCAACACCCCATATAACACCCCCCCCCCATATAAACACCCCAGACTTACTTAAACGTGTAGTTCCCAGGTACCATATTCACCAACTCCCCATGTCAACACCCCCCATATAAACAGCCCAGACTTACTTAAACGTGTAGTTCCCAGGTACCATATCCACCCACCCCCGCATGTCAACACCCCATATAACACCCCCCCCCCCCCATATAAACACCCCAGACTTACTTAAATGTGTAGTTCCCAGGTACCATATCCACCCACCCCCCATGTCAACACCCCCCCATATGAACACCCCATATAACACCCCCCCCCCATATAAACAGCCCAGACTTACTTAAACATGTAGTTCCCAGGCACCATATTCACCAATTCCCCATGTCAACACCCCCCATGTCAACACCCCCAGACTTACTTAAACGTGTAATTCCCAGGCACCATATCCACCAACTGTAACATCTTCTCATCCAGCTTAAGCTTGTTCTCCTGTAGGGGAGTGGTCACCTCCTCCCACTTGTAGCTCACTATCTTATCATCATCTGTGCTGTCTACACACACAAAGATTGTGGAAATATTCAATACAAGATCAAGCACTTTAACTTCAACAAAATGTATCCTTGTTAGTGAATATATTTCCTTGTGTACAGTTTTGGTGAAGGGGAAATTAAGTTTCTAGTTAGTAAAATAAAAAAAGTAAAATTTAACTTAAAATTACAAGTTAAACTAATTTAAAATTCATACACTTTTTGGGGTATAATGTTAAATAAATTGTTTTTTTTTGCTTAAATATTCAAAATAAAACTAATTTTAATATTTTTAATGTTAAAAAAATTGAAAGAAGATGAAATAGCTCACCATGAAATTTTTTTAAAGTAAAAAAAGTCATAAAATTTGCTCTAAATTAAATTAATCATGATACATTTTTTTATAATGTTGAACAGTAAACAAAACATAAGACCCAACATTGAAATGTTTTTGAATAGTTCTCACCTTCTCCGTCAAGGATAGCAATTTTTGGCAGGAAAACCTCTTGAAAGCTTGGGTTAATGATTGCATGTGGTGGCTTGTTTATGCGAATAGCTAACAAAGAAAATATACAATAAGATACTACAAAAAAATAGTCGCATTTGATGAAAAAGAGCAAGATCTATATAACTTTGATGTGTAATTAAATTAAAACAGTGGGTTTTAAAATGAACAAATAATGTGGTTATAATTATAACAATGAAGAGTTATTAGAATTAATTTAACCTGAAAGAGGTTTAAAAAATTCCTTTGAAGATTTTTTTTATTAATCTATTAAAAGTTAATTTCTCTATAATAGAAACCTATACTTTAAATTTTTCATCTATATCTATACAAAAAACTAATATTCAATGTAGGCCTATCTTGAAAAGTCATATTAAATTTTAATTAGAAACCTGAGGGCACTAACAGCTAGTTAAGTTTAATTATTAGAACATATATTGATTGAATATGAGCCTACGGCTATGTTCACATGTTTCCCAATAACAAAGATGGAAAGTAAACATTTCAGCCACAGAAAGCGAATATACGTACGTGGCAACACTGTCACATTAACCACACCCTCTCCAAATTTGTTGTTGCCAGTTACTTTTATCTTGAAAACATACACTCCAGTAATAAGCTGGGGAAATTGCAATTTTTAAAAATTAATTTGTTGTAGCAATTAGCTGGGGAAAAGTACAACTTTTAATTAATGTGTTGTAATAATCAGATGGGAAAATGTATAATTTTAAAAATTAATGTTGCAGTAATTCGCTGGGCAAATGTATGTGTTTTAAATAAATTGTTGCAGTAATTAGTGTATGATGTATATAACTTGTTAATTAATTTCACTTTAATCTTGAAAAGAAAATGTACTCTAGTGATTAGCTAGTGAAAATGTAAAACTTTTAAAATTTATTTGTTTATAAATAATATTTATTACATCACAGATATAAATATATTTTAATAATAATATTTTCTACAATCAGTACTGTGGTATAACTTGTGGAACAAGTGTTTTTATTCTGGATATAATATATATAGTGATGTAAATATATAAGCATTAGATGAATTTCAGGTACTAGCTTACTCACAAAAAACAATATTGATGGGATGTACATTTTACTACATTATTCCTTACATATAAGCCTAATATCTAAAACCGTTATTTTGTTAGTTCTATTTTTTCAGAGAAGGTATTATTTATTAATTTACTACTTTTGCAATTTTATTATTAGAACAAAACTACTTATGCAGGCAGAAAAATTAAACCTTTATAAAATGTTTGATAGAAATTGTAATATAGTGAGACTTGTGAAGTCAAGGGAACTCACTCTTCTGTATTAGTATTATATTTATACTGTTATCTTGAGTGATGTCCCTTACATGTTTATGTATATAAGTGTCTCGTGACTTCCGCTCTCTCTTTCCTCATGGTGTGAATAAAATACTGTTAACAATCTACGTGGCTTCTCGTCAGTGTTTGCCAATCCATCACATTGGCGACGAGGATAAATAATCCACTAGAAAGAGCACCTACTTACGCAAAAAAGAGGTTTGCTAGAGCATATTGGCTAAGTATTTCTAGGATAATGGCACTGTATGGCCAAATAAAAGAATTTGATTCGAATGATGAAATCATTCATGATTACCTAGATAGGTTAAGCTTTTACCTTGAAGCAAACGACGTGACGATAGAAGCCAAAAAGAGAGCTGTTTTGTTAACAGTCATAGGGCCTCAACAATTTAGGCTACTAAAGGACTTATGCGCACCAGCTAGTCTAACTACCAAGAGCTTTAACGAGCTGAGCCAATTGCTAACAGACCACCATGCACCTACCCCATCAAAGTTTCTATGTCGAGCTAGATTTGACAGTAGGACTCGTCAACCAAACGAGTCAATATCAGAATATGTTGCTGCTTTACGTCATTTAAGTAGATTTTGTGAATTCGGAGACACGCTGTCTGACAGACTATGTGAAAAGTTTGTGACAGGTGTAAACAGCCCTGATATTCAAAGAAAGTTGCTGCTCGAGTCAGATCTAACATTAGAAAAAGCAATACAACTTGCAACTTCATTCCAGCAGTCATCAGATGCGGCGAAATCTCTAGCACCTTCAGAGATCCATGCAGTAAACAGCAGGTTAGTCAATAAACATCAACCCCATCAGAGCATTCCAACTTATGCTAAACAGCCTGCTCGTTCAAAGCCTAGATCTAAATCTAGTAATAATTATCAAAAATGTCATCGATGCAAAGGTCTCCATGCATCTCATCGATGCAAGTTCAAGTCTGCAACTTGTTATAAGTGCAGTAAACAAGGTCACATTGCCAAGGCCTGCTTTGCAAAGTCTTCGTCTGTTGCTAAATCTAGCCAGTCAAGACAGTACCGCAACCAAAGGCAGCACTATGTTAACTCTCACCAAGACTACCTAACCCAACCAATGAACCACTCTACCTGTGAAAATGCTCAAACTGATTCGCAACCGGATTTCAACCTATTCTCTGTGAAATCAATAAGTCATGCTCCCATCAATGTACCAGTTTATATCAACGGTAAGAGCATCAGCTTCCAACTTGACACTGGAGCATCTCTAACAGTCATCACAAAGAAAGATTTTGACGCTGTCACAGGAGGATCAGTGCCTCTACAACCATGTCACAAGTGTCTAACAACATACACTGGTGACAATGTTCCGGTAATAGGAGAGTGTATGGTTCATGTAAGTTATGATGGTCAAAGTGTTAAACTTCCTCTTCTTGTGGTTGAAGGAAATGGACCACCATTACTAGGTAGGAACTGGTTAAGTGATCTTAACTTAAATTGGGAGAGAATATGTTCATTGAACAATGCAAAAGAATCTAGTCTTACTTCACTAGATAAAGTTATATCTGAAAATAAATGTGTTTTTGGTAATCCAGGATTACTAAATGATAGAACAGTGAAGATAAGCATTAAAGACACAAATCCAAGATACTGCAAAGCTAGAGTTCCACCTTATGCAATGAGGAATAAAACTGAAAATGAGCTAAGTAGATTGGAATCTAATGGCATCATAAAGAAGGTAGACTATTCCGATTGGGCAACGCCCATTGTGCCAGTGTTAAAGAAGGATGGTTCTATAAGAATTTGTGGAGACTATAAAACTACACTGAATAAGCAAATAGAGCTAAATAGGTACCCTATTCCTAACATTGAGGAAATTTCTTTGAATTTGGCAGGAGGAGACAAATTCACTGAATTGGACTTTAGTTATGCTTACACTCAACTAGAACTGCATCCAGATTCAAAAGTCTATACGACAATAAACACACATAAAGGACTCTACCAATATGAAAGACTATGTTTTGGCATATCATCTAGCCCTGGAATTTTCCAAGCTGTCATGGACAGTATTTTTAAGGATATTCCAAATGTTGTGTTTACTTTGACAATGTGTACATAACTGGTAAGAATGACACTGAACATCTTAAAACACTAGATAAAGTCTTGAAAATAGTTGGTGAAAAAGGTTTAAAGATAAACAAAGATAAATGTCAATTCATGTGGACAGAAATTAGTTTTCTTGGTTATATATTAAGCAAGCAAGGTATCAGACCTCAACCTGAGAAAACAAAAGCCATTAAAGAAGCACCCAAACCTGAAAATACCCAACAACTAAGAGCTTTTTTGGGCTTGATAAATTACTATGCAAAGTTCATAGGGAATCTGTCTGGTAAACTATCACCACTGTACAAGCTGCTACAGAAAAATGCAACTTGGCACTGGGGTAAACAACAAGATACTGCTTTTAATACAGCAAAAGAGGCTTTGTCTTCTGACACCTTACTAACTCACTATGACCCAGGGAAAAGACTTATATTAACATGTGATGCTTCACCAGATGGTGTAGGAGCAGTCTTGTCCCACATGGATGAGAAGGGTGACAGACCCATTGCTTTTGCCAGTAGATCTTTGAACCAGGCTGAGAAAAATTATTCTCAGTTAGATAGGGAAGGCTTAGGCATCATTTTTGGTGTTAAGAAATTTCATAAGTTTCTGTTTGGTAGGAAGTTCACCATCTTTACAGATCATAA